AATTTAAAAATTTATTTTAAAAAGCTACCTCAATGACTGGTCAAACATTATTTTGGTTGTGCAAATGTTTCTGAGAGAGATGAGCCTTTACATTGGTGGACTAAAGGCAAATTGTGCTTTCAAAAATGAGTAGGCACATTCAACCTATCCAAGGCTTGGCTAGAACAAAAAGGTGGATGCAGGGTGGGTGAAGTCACTCTCTGAATGACTGAGCTAAGACATCCATCTTTTCCTGCCCTCAGTGTTTCTGGTCCTGAAACCATTATACAGCATGTATACCATCAATTCTAGAGCTCTCAGACCTTTAGGACAGCTCATTTACTTTCCTGGGTCTCCAGCTTATAGACAACAGATTGTAGAACTTCTCAGTCTCCATAGGTATGGGCCAATACTTTATAATATCTATCTATCTGTCTGTCTGTCTGTCTGTCTGTCTGTCTATCTATCTATCTATCTATCTATCATCTATATCATCTATCTATCATCTATCTATCATCTATCGATCATCTATCTATCTATCATCTGTCATCTATCATCCATCTATCCACCTATATTTCTCTGGGAAACACTAATAGGAACCTCCCCAGACTACATTCCTTCTATCCCACTCAGAACTAATTGGTTTGTATTTTGTTGATATAATCATTTTTCCCTAGTTTTGCCATTTTATTTATGCATTCCTGAAAATAAGGTCTTAGGCAGTGTGTTAGGTTTCTATTACTGTAACAAAGACTGAGATAATCAGGTTATACAAAAGGCTATTTTGGGGGCTGGAGAGATGGCTCGGTGGTTAAGAGCACTGACTGCTCTTGCAGAGGACCCGGGTTTGATTCTCAGCACCCATATGGCAGCCGCGAACCGTCCTTAGTTCCAGTTCCGGAGGAATCTGAAGCCCTCTTCTGACCTCTGTGGCATTGCATGGCACGGGTGCACTCACATACATGCAGGCAATACACTCATACACCTCAAATTTAAAAAAAAATCCAAAAACATTAAAAAAAAAGGGCTATTTTGGTTCACAGTTTTGGATGTTTCAGCCTATGATCAGTTGACCTTGCAGTTTTAGGCTGTGGAAGTGTATCAGGATGGAAGCAAAATCATCCACTTCGTGAATGGAGATCCACAATCCTCTTTAAGTACAGGCCTCAGTGGTCGGAATAATCTTCCCCACCTCTTAAAGTTTTCACCACCTTTCAATAACACCAAGTGGGTTTATGTCTTTAACACAAGGTCCTTTGGAGGACATTCCAGATTCAAAGTAGAAGTTAACCTGTTGGAAGCTCCCCAAGCCCGCCAGGCTTGGAGCTCCAACAAGACAGGAATCAAGACAAGAGTCTTGATTTTATTATAAAAAGTTTATTTGAAGAAAGACTCTTACCAATCAAGCAAGCATAGGCACACTCATAAAACGAATCTAATGTTGTGAGTTACACAGAGCTTATATACGAATCAGTTCACAAGTATCTAAGAAGTAACCAAGGAATCACCAAGGATACATTACTAACAGAAAGTAACTAAGGACGCAGCACGTAACTGCATCATGTCACCATCACCCAATACTCACATGATAGTTACAGATACATAATGTTTACAATCTTTAGGATACAATGTGTATTGCCCATGATCACTCCTAACAACTACTAGAATTTATGATTTTTATATAGAAACCAAGTAGACAGTGGTGAGAAACTCAGGTGCCCTTGAACTGAAACAATACTCTTTAGTTATGTTTCCAAGGTAGTCAATTAATCAAGAAGGCATAGCCTGTCAACTCAAACCACTGAAGCAAAGAGTAGAGAAGCTCTTCAAGTGGCAGTCTTCTTTTCTACTATGCTCAAGTCAAGCATGGCTCCCAACATTAACATAATTTTATGTTTACATAAATAGCACCATGCTATCTACACACACACACACACACACACACACACACACACGTACGTTACCTTCTTCAACATTATGATTTAAGATGTGTTCACATTAATACAAGTAGCATTTTGTTTTCACAGTTGCATGGTGTTCCACTGTATGATTGATCATAACCATATATTTGTTAAGTATTAATGGATATTGGATTCTCTGGTAAATAATCCTAGGAGCGTAATTGATGGTTTGTAGGGTTGCACATATTCCATTTTCCTATGTAAAGACACATTTTTCAAAGTGATTGTATTGTTTTAAATTCCCACATTTTGAACAAAGTCTGATCTTACCAGAATTTCACATTTTTACCAGCCTAAACATATGAAAGTGCATTTCATTATTTCATTGCCTTAATTAAAAAAATATTTTATTTTATGTGTATGTGTGCATTGCCTGCATGTAGGTAAGTGCACCCATGTTGTACAATGCCCGCGGAGGACAGAAGAGGCTGTTGGATCCCCTGGAAGTGGAGTTATGGACAGTTAAGCTGCCATGTGAGTGCTGGGATTTGAAGCTAGGTCTTCTGCAAGAAGTCAGTGTTCTTAGTTGCTGAGCCATCTCTTCAGCCCCTCATTTCCTTAATCTTTAAAAACCTATTTTTTAAATTTTACTTTATTTCAAATTTATGTATAATGAGTTTTGCCTGCATGTATGTAAGTGTACCATTGCATGCTTGGTGCCTCAGGTGGCTGGGAGAGGGTGTTGAAACCCCTGGAACTGGAGTTCCAGATGGTTGCTAGCCACTCTTTGGGTGCTGGGAACTGAACCCAGGACCTCTAGAAAAGGAGTCATCTCTCCAGCCCCCATTTCCTTAATTGTTAACGAATTGAGTTTTTCCAGGTTTATTCCCAGATCTCTTTTTATGAGAAACACTGCCACAACATTCCTGCTCTGGGTTGCTTCCAAAGTTAGATGAACAATGACACTATCTCAGTATTTTCCAAGCATTTTCCTTACCAGTCAGCTAATGCTATCTGTGAGGAATATTCATGGTCTACTTTTGTCTTTTCCACTAGACTTTTCTAACAGGTTTTCACAAAGAAGGTACACAAAGAAGGTACACAGTAGCTGTAATGTGTTTAATCAGAAAAAGGAGAATCAATGAATTGGGCGACATGAGAGATGGGAGCAGAATGTCCCACCAATAGCCTGAAATGAGCAGGAAACCAACTTGAAGATAAAAATGATGACCCTGTCCTATTCCTGGGACCAACAACACAAGAATGGTACTAGTTCTTTAAGAGAATGATTTCTAATCCTTACAGTAGTTCTGTAAGACATGCAGTGTCACTTCATCTTAAGGACTAATGTTATGCAATAGAAAACTCTGAACTGCCCAGAATACACTAACATGCAGTAGTTTTGGCCAGGTGTGGTGGTGCATGCTTTTAATCCCAGCACTCGGGAGACAAAGGCAGGCGGATCTCTGTGAGATAGAGGCCAATCTGGTCTACATAGTGTGTTCCAGGACAGCTGGGTCTACAGAGAGACCCTGCCTCAAAAAGCAAAAACAAAATGAGCCCCAAAAAACACAAAACAAAAACCATGCAGTAATTTTGGGCAGAAAGCTATATATTCCAGATTTGCCATGAAGTAGAAACTAATGTAGTAGAAAACTGCTTATTAAAGGTCCAGCTAGCCTAAATCTGGCCAGCTTCTGCCCCGTCATGTGCAGGGCAGTGGAGGACCTCACTGTATACTAAATGAACATGGGTAGGTTCCCCCTGTCCCCAAGAAGCAGTGTCCCAGCCTTACAGGTTGGGTGACACCCAGCTTGTGCCTCAGTTTCATTATGTCTTAAAGGAGGACTGTGATAATACCTACTTTGGTTTATTCATTTTCCACGGATGCTGAAAATAAGATTTTGAGCCAGGTGTGGTGGTTTTTATATATAATCTCAACACAGGCCGAGGCAGAAGAACCACTGAGAGTTCCAGGCCAGCCTGGTCTACAGACTGAGTTCCAGACCTGCTTGTATTAGAGTGAGGCCCCCATCTCAAGACCAAAACAGAAACAGAAATTTGTTCTCTTACAGTTCTGGAAGCCAAAAAATCCAAAAGCAGTTTCACTGGCCCCAATCCAAGTGTTTCTAGGGCTGCTCCATAGCCAGGAGAGGATCCCCTTGTTTCTATAGGTACCTGATGGCCTCTGATATTTTCGGTTTCTGGCAACCTTACTCCAAACACTGCCTTCCTCTTATCAAGGCTACATATGACTGCCATTTAGGGCCCAACCTGACAATCCAGAAAAATCTGTCTCAAAATCCTCAGTCCACACAGACCCCGATCCCATATAAAGTAACATTTACAGGCTCCAGGGCTTAAGTCCTGATAGTTGTGCGGACTGATACACTCAAGGCTGGTCTAAGGAGGGAATCTGCTAGCGCTAGCAGAGGGGTAATAGCATTTGACAGTGCAGTCCTGCTGCAACAGCCTAGTCTCTCATCTAAAAAAAGAGATCTCTAACAACGCCTGTCGTAAAGGGTTGCTGTTGAGTTCAAACAAAATAGAGTGCCAAGAGAAAAAGAACTAGCAGAGGGGTAATAGCATTTGACAGTGCAGTCCTGCTGCAACAGCCTAGTCTCTCATCTAAAAAAAGAGATCTCTAACAACGCCTGTCGTAAAGGGTTGCTGTTGAGTTCAAAGCTTATAGAGTGCCAAGAGAAAAAGAATGGAGTAAAAACTGAGGCCTGTTAACAGAAAGTGTAAACTTGTATTAATTAGCACTTTCTTCCTTCCAGGAAGCTTTGCACGTGGCTAACCTCAGGGAAAGCTTCTCAACCCGGAAGCCCTTCCGTTCTCAATACTCTGCTCACCTACTTTGGCGTCTCTCTTTTCCTGGTTGGTAGCATCCGGGCCTTCTGTGTCTGTCCACACCATGCCTGTCAGAGTAGAGCCAATTTTAGCCAATTATGTCTTTTAGCCAAGATTTTCGGGTATAAATTACAATGTATATGGATTGATCCAGAATGGAATTTCTCTTTTATTTAGGTGAAAAATGGGCGCTCAAATTGTTGGACTAGACAGGCTTTGTGTTAGACAGCCCACACAGGAAGCGCGGGTCCTTCGCGCCTCGGTCGGTGGGGCCGGCGGCTCCCGCGCAGGCGCACTGGGCCCCACTCGCCATGCCGACTGTCAGCGTGAAGCGTGATCTGCTTTTCCAAGCCTTGGGCCGGACCTACAGTGAGTGTGCCCCGCGCCCCGCGCCTCCCCGGGGCCTGCAGGGACGGGCCCGGCAGTGCAGTGGGCTGCAGGGCGGGCTGGTGGTCGGGCTGCGGTGGCTTCTGGAAACCGGCCGCGCCGCCGCTTTCATTGCATTACCCGCTCGCGTCCTGCGCTCCGGGTAGTTCCTGCAGAGACTGAGCACCTACTACGTACGGGGAGCATCTACACTGGTGCAAGTTTCCGAATAGGAAGATGCCCCTTGTTGCATTCCGCGTGTAGACGGTTCCGTGTACTAAGAGCCCCGTGGGAACTCAGTTGTCAGGGAATGGGAATGGGAGACGTTTGAGATGGAGAGAATAGCCTGCGTTCGTTTTTGTTTTTGAGACTGGGGCTTACTATGCAGAACTCGCGGTCTTCCGGCCTCAGCCTCTTGAGTGCTGGGATTACAAGCGTGTGCCCCCGCGCCCCGCTTTCTTTTTATTTGGTGTTGACTGAGGTCCCCTTAGTCAGTCTGGCTGTGCACGTGACCCCGAAGGTCGCATTTTGATGAAAGAGATTGTAACCAAGCAGCACATTAATAAAATAATTTCTAGGAAATGCCGAATGCTCTCTAGGAAACGAAACCAGGTGCAGTGTTGGCACAGCATTGATGGTGATTTGAGACCCGAATGAAGATCCATTCGGTGGGCTTATTATTCGCGGTACACTTCATCTGTTACTCAGTTCTGAAAACTAAACCACTGGGGGAAAAAGAAATGGTCATTTAACACACAGATGTAGTAGTTGTAGTGACATCTGCTGTAGCCGGTAATTATCAACTTGTAGAAAGGCTGAAACAAGTGATACGTGAGAGCTCTGTTTTAGTGTGAGAAGCCAAGATGGTAACAAAGCTGTACTCGATTTAATAGGAGGTTCAACTCCCCAGCATAAGATAATGCTGCCACTGTGAAAATAAAGTTAACTTTTCAAAAACTCCTCTAAAGTTGTAATTTTAGATATTACTCATTCTCTGTTAATCTTCCGTTCTCATGTTTGTGTTTTTGTTGTTGTTGTTGTTATTTGACACAGTCCCTTACTCTGGTGGCCCAGCCTGGCCTTGAACTTGTGGTCCTCCTGCCTTCCAAGTGTTCAGATTATAGGTGTGAGCAGGAGCTGTCCCATATTCTTAGAAGTAGAGAAAATAACTTTGTCTTTGGGACTTGGCTCTATTTCTTAATCACCTTTTATTGTATAATAGGGTTTTTTATATTTTTCACCTTCTAAACCATATTCTCTCTAATGGCGTATGATGTATCTGAACTGCAGAAGACGGCGTGAGGCACATTTAAAATATTTATAATCAGTTCCCAGCTAGGTCTGTGTCTCAGGAAAAGTAAGAATTGTCTCGGTTTTAAAAAAAAGCAGCGTGATCTATAACTTATTTTTTATTATCTGATGATGTTTTAACACATTTTCTAGCTGTCTCTCGTTTTTCCCCCTTTCATATTGTGGTGGTCAAATAAGGTTGACTCTCCTACAGTCTATAGTAGCTACTAGATCTTTGGAAAATTTTTATCATAAGTATTGATGTTTTTGATATGTACATCAAATGGGTTAGAAATAACACGTCATTGGCTTATATTGTATTCTTTCTTGAAATCTTTTTAAGTGTCAGTTAAGAGGAGGTTGGAATTGAAAGTATGTTCAGCGAATCATCTGGTTTCCAAATAGTGTGGCTTCCCCTTGTTTCTTTTCTTTTCCACACCCCCTCATTCTTGTTTTCAGATAGTGTTTCATTAGTGATTTTCTGTTGCATGTTCTTTTTTTCCCAGTTCTGCCAAGGGTTGGCTTCTGTCTGAAACTCCACTGTTATTTCCAGTTTCCTTCTCTCAAGTGTTTGTTACTCTGGTCATGTGTGTTGCTTCCTTCAGAGTTTTGTCTTGGTCTGCTCCTTTCTCTTCCGATGCTCCTCTTGACATTTATTTTCTTGTGAGCTGATTTGTTGTCACTGCTCTTCAGTTTGGCCTGTCCTGGCTTAATACGTTAGGCAGCACTGCCAGAGCTGTCTCTGCATTGTGCCAGCAGACAGTGTTTTAGCTGTGCCATTTAATTTTAGGAAATAAGTCGTCATGGTTTGATTTTTGGTTCTCTCTTGCGTCTAAACTCATAAAACTCAGCTTAAAGGAATAAAACATAGTGAAGATATGTTTAATAGTTCTATACAATTTGGTTTATTACCACCTAGTCGTCTATTAGCACATGAAAATTTTGCATCTTAAAATTAAAATCATTTGTCATTTTCTCTGATGGTCGGAAATGGAGGAGTGGTGTTCCTGGTTCTGAGTCTCACCAGGTTGCACTTGAGTTGTCACCCGGATCGGCAGTCAATTCTAGACCTCCGTGGGTGGAGTCTCTGCTTCAGCTTGGTTTTGTAGTGTTGGCAGGTCTTGGGTACTTGGCTGAGTTTTGGCCAGAGGCTTCCGTTCCTTCTACCTTGGCTTTTTCGTAGGACTACCTACTAAATGTTAATTTGTCCTAGAGGGAGACGTCTGAGAGAGCAGATAAATGGAGTGTGCTCAGGTAGAATCCTCAGTGTTTCTCAAAAGAGGTAGTCCATATTTTTTTACATACTCTTGGTTACACAGACCAGTCCTGACCTGCTGTGAAAGGAATCCATATAAGCAGGGAGCTATTGGAGACTGACTGCCGTAGTCTCCAGAGACCAACCCTCAAATGGTTCCTGTTCTCCCACATGCAAAGTACTCTTGCTCTCAAAGTGTCATCTTATTGCAACAGAAGCTCATCCTCTGAATCCGGTTCTGGTTGAAGTTCTTGGGATGTAGTTCTCTGAGCATAGCATCCTGACCACAGCAGACTCCGCCTGAGAGGCTCAGGCACTAAGATTGGTATCTCACATCTAGCATGTTGTCATGGAATAGGCCTAGGATGACTACTAAAGGGGGAGAAAATGGAGCTCACAAAGGAGTCACTGGCCCATGACAGTTCTGAAATCGAATGGCAGTTGCTGGATGGTCTTGATTAGGTCGCAGGCCTGGGATAATTCTCCGTGGCTCTGTGCCCTGCCCTCTAGGCTCTTGGTTCCACCCTCTGGGTGATCCCTAGAAAGTGTGTGCTTCACAGCTGATTACTTTTCTCAGTCTACTTCCTGCTAATAGAATTTTAGGGGCCCGGAGACGTCCTTTTGTCCTGCTTCTGTTCCTTTCAGTTCAAGCTGCCTGTGTCTGCCTCTGTGTTTTTTCTAAAAACTTTCTGGGTCTTTAGTGAATTTTTACTGGATTACTTTTTATTCACTGAAAACCATAGACTCTCCAAATCTCTGAAATTGGCTGTTTTGGTACTTCAGGCTTTCTCCTGCAGTGCTCTTAATTAAGCCTTGTTCTTTGATTAGTTGGATTTGTGAGGCACAGCCTTCATTTCTCTGTTGTACCTTTTGTTTGAATTGTGCCTTTGATCTTTTCTGACTGAAGATTTTTCACTCATTCCCTTGATTCTATCTTATGCCTTGGAATTGATGTCTGCTTACAACTTCTTTTTTTTTTGGTCTTTTTGAGACAAGATCTGGCCTGGAGCTCGCTATGTAAACCAACCAGACTGGCCTTGAACTCACAGAGATCCCCTTGAACTTATTCCTTAATTTTAACATTGCTTTACCTCTGAAAGGCTGAACATTTTTCATTCATCATCCTGGCTTTTTTTTTTTTTTTTTTTTGGCTTAATAACCCTTGCTGTAATTTATCTCTTTTCTCACATGTGCAGCAAGACGACAACAAAAAAACAGTCTACTCTTTGAGCAGTGGTCAAAAGTCTTAGTTACACCAGGTGTGGTGGTGACACCTTTAGTCCCAGCACTCAGGAGGCAGAGGCAGGCAGATCTCTGTGAGTCCAGCCTGGTCTACATAGCAAGTTCAGGCCAGCTGGGGATACAGGGAGACCCTGTCTCAAAAAGACCAAAAAAAAAAAAAAATCAGACCCTTAGTCGAGTACATTTTCTGCCATCCAGGTACCTGCCGGCAGCTGTATTGATCAGGTTTCTGCCGCACATAACAAGGTGCCCTCTACTTTCTACCTCACTTCCTTCCTTGCCTTCATCTGAACCATAATTAAAGACTGCAGGGCTCCCAACTAATAGTGCTTTTGAGGCCCTTAGGTTTTCATTTATAGCCCTAAGTGCTGTCTGAATCCAAAACCATCCGCATGGTTTTGGCTATGGCATTGGTCCCTTTACAGAGACTAAGGTGTATGTTAGTAATTTATTGTTACTTGACAAATTATCCCAGTTCTTATGAGAAAACAATATGCTTTTGGCTTTTGTTACTTCATAGTGTCTGAAGGACAGGGATCATAGAGAGATTGAGCTGGTGGTTCTGGCTCTGGGTCCCTCACTAGGTTGCAGTCACCTCAAGGATTGACTGAGCTGGAGTATCTCCTTCCCAGTCCTTTCATATGGGTTACATCACACTTAAGTTCACACACAGGCATGACTAAGAGGAAGCAGGATCATTGGAGGCTGGATATCTCAGTTACTACATGCCCAAGCTCATGATAGCTTCACTTTCTTCTTCCTCTAAGCCGCAGACCTGGCAGCAAGCTAGACACTTGCTCACTATTTGTCTGTGATCAGCCTGCCTTGAGCCTTACACATTCTGCTCTAACATTTCTCATTTTCCTTCATCCCTATGCATGCTGTTGTTTAAATCGCCCCTCTCTGTATTTCCCTGTACTTTTTTTTTTTTTTTTTTTTGAGGCAGGGTCTCCCTGTGGCTCCAGGTGGCTTGGAATGCACTGTGTAGACCAGGTTGGCCTCGAACTCACAATGATCCACCTGCCTCTGCCTCCTGAGTGCTGGGACTAAAGGCATGCGCCACCATGCCTGCCTTATCTGTACTCCTGTAGAAGACTGTATGGCAATCCATCTTCTACCCTGCTACCAGGGTTTAAAGTGCAGATGTAGGGAACCAGACTTGGTGACTCATGCCTGCAGTAGTAGCACTTAGGAGTCAGTAGGAGGATCTGGAGTTCGAGGCCAGCTTGGGCTACACACACACACACACACACACACACACACACACACACACACACACAGTTTGCAGGCTGCCCTGGTAAGACCCTGTTTCAAGAAAATGAAACAAAATGCAGATCTAGGGCTGGGGATGAAAAATGTTGCAAATCTAATCATGTTTTACCTGGCTGAAAACCACTTCAACCCCCATTGCCTGCAGGTAGGACAGGGCAAGTCCCTTGGCATGTCATGAGCTGTGTTTCTCCTTGTATCCTATTTCTTCCTAACACAAACCTTATTCTTCATTCATGTTGAACTACTTAAGAGTTCCTAACTTTGCCAAGCTCTTGATTCCCTCCCTCCAATCTCTGCTAATGAAGACATCTTTTATATAGTTTTAGCTGAACCTAAGAGGAGCTTTGTGCCACCCTGTAGCTTGTACTGAATGTATTTACCCTTGCGGATTCTTTGCTAGAGGAGGAAGTAGTTAAGACAGGAATTGTAATTGATTTATCTTTGCAGCCCTGGCCCATCTAGTGTAGTGCTTGGCATATAATGGCAGTAAATATTTGTTAAATTGAATTGAAGTTAGATATGGAGACCAGGCAAGTCTTTTATTTTGATGTTGGGGATTGAACCCAGGGCCTCTGACATACTAAGGATGCATTCTACCACTAAAGCCAACCCCTGACCCTGGATCAGGAAATTTAAGCCTTCTAGCTCTTCACTAGATTACAGTGTTAATTATCATTTGTGTTTAGTGTTTGATAATATGACTCTGAAAATGCTGGATTAGATAACAGAACAAGTGAAGGCAGAAAACTATTCGTTGTTGTAGACCCACTGTGTTTCAGGGTGTTGTGCCAGGTCCTTTGTCTGCCTGATCACATTTACACCTTTCCAGTAGTCCCATGCTAAAGCTGACAGCAAAAGCTTTACAGATGAGGGCATGGGTAAAGTTTACATAATGTGCCAAGCCCTCAGTCCTAGTGAGGTAGAATTCAAAACCCTGATTATTGTGGATCTAAAACCAAATTTCAGGCTACCTCAGAGAGTTAAGTTCAAGAACTTAGTGGCATTCCTTTGTATGGGAGCTGTGATTGTAGCCTACTTTCTAATTTGATCTCTACTTAACGTGGTTTTTTTGTTGTTTATTTTTCCTGAGCCCATATAAACTTCTCAGCACTGGTAACCTAATTCTGTGGTTGATGTTAGTACAGAGTAATCAGCCTTTAATAGTTTTAATTTGATATCTGGATCAGACAAGTCTTTTGTTGTTTTAGTGCTAGGGATTGAACCTGAGGCCTCTGACCACTGAGCCCTACTCCTTTGCACTGGGTCAGGGATGTTAAGACATCTATGTAGCTTTTCACTGGTGCCTATTGGTGATGCTAGTTTGTGTTCAGGTTTTGATAATGTGGAAGCCTTGAAAATGCTGTCAGGTAACAAAGCCAAGTGGAATGAAGCAGAGAACACATCCAGCTTTTGTAGACCTACTGTGTTTCACGCTACTATGCCACATTTTTTAGCTTTAAAGAAAATATTCTGGCAAAACTTCTGTTTGTTTTAAATGGTGGTATCTGATATTTGATAGTATGCTCAGTGTAAGGTAATTAAATATGATTCATATGCAATTTTCATTTGTGCTGAACAGATTAAAACATCAATCTCTTTTTTTTTCCTAGCTGATGAAGAATTTGATGAACTGTGTTTTGAATTTGGACTGGAACTTGATGAAATTGTATGTATTTTTTTTTTAAGATATTCTATGAGCTAATGTTTTAGAGTTTACTGTGCTTTATCATTTCTCCTTACAGTTAGACTTGGGCCATTCATTTGGTGATTTCTGTGTTCTGGGGAGGACTGCTTGTCTTCCTGATCTCATACCTTGTCTTGTCAGGCCTCTTTTTTATTTGAGAAACATTTGGTATGATTTATATGATCCTTTGGGTCTGAAATTTGTATGGTCTTTGATTTCTAAGATCTGTGAGCGAGCACTGACAGTCAGTTTTCACATAGAGCCTTATCATGAATTGAGTCTGAAAACAACATTGAAGCTCTGTGTGCACATGCAGCACAAGTATTCAACCATTTTTTGTTCAGATGCTTCATTTCTTTGGTTACCATGTTATTTCCACTGTATTTAGAGCTTGTCTGAAACCTGCTGTCTTTGAGCTTTTGTCACAGAAAAGCACTAATCTCATTACTGCTTCAATCACAGTATTTAAGTTCCAGTTCTCTTCTGGCCTCTCTCTACCCCTGTCCTTTCCTTTCCTCTCCTTTCTTCTTCCTCCTCTTTGTCATTTTCTTTAATTTAAATTTTGCCTCCTAAGTTCGAGGTTCTAGGGAAGGTGTGTCTTAGATTCTGGAATAGCTTTGAAGAGTCTAACACTGTGTGGACTTCTGTGGTTTCTCAAGGGCAAAGGGATCCATAGTTCTTAGTGGCCAAAGTGAGTAGTCCTGTCCCCCGCCCCGCAGTAAATGCAGATTATAATTCTTTTCTTCTTTTCTAATTTTTTGGCTAGCATATAGAGATAGGGGTTCATTGTGACCTTGTTCATATTTACCCCACTGCCCTCCTCTGTGCGCCCCCTTCTCTGTGTGCCCCTCTCACTGCCCTCCTCTGTGCCCCCCTTCTCTGTATGCCCCTCTCACTGCCCTCCTCTGTGCCCCCCCCCCCTTCTCTGTGTGCCCCTCTCACTGCCCTTCTCTGTGTGCCCCTCTCACTGCCCTCCTCTGTGCCCCCCCACCCTTCTCTGTGTGCCCCTCTCACTGCCCTTCTCTGTGTGCCCCTCTCACTGCCCTTCTCTGTGCCCCCCCACCCAGCGTCTTCCTCTGTGCCTCCTCACTGCCCTCTGTGCTCCCTCAATGCTGTCCTCTGTGCCTCCTATGTGCTCCCCCTACTGCCCTCTGTGCTCTCTTACTGTCCTTCTCTGTGCTGTGTCCCCGCCCCCATCTTGATGACTGTTCTTTCCTACATAGTAGATTGTAAATATTTTTTTGGTCTTTTTTTTTTTTTTTTTTTTTTTGAGACAGAGTCTCCTTGTAGCCCCCAGCTGTCCTGAAACTTGCTGTGTAGATCAGGCTGACCTTGAACTCACACAGATTTGCCTGCCTCTGCCTCCACCTCCACCTCCTGAGTGCTGGGATTAAAGGCGTGCACCACCACACCCGTCTAGATTGTAATTCTTGATGTGACAGTGCCTTGAACTAGTCATTGTGCAGTGGGAAGGTACCATGTAAAACAGAAATCTTTTGGTGTGTTGATAGAGCTCCATCAGGCATTTTAGCAGGTTATTGATGGGATTCTGGTTAAATAGGATTTTCATATACTGGGAAACAGTAACAATTAGAATTTAACTCTTATCACTGCTCAACCTTTGGCTAAGGTCAAGTGTTTAATCATTTTAATTGAAAATTTCTTAACTATGTTTACAGTTCCCTACAGTAGTAAATGCAGGGAATAGAATTCAACTTCCTGGCAGTGGTTGTCTTTAAAAAAAGCACTCTGGGCACTGAGAGATAGCTCAAGAGTACCAACTACTCTTGCAGGGGACCCAGGTTCGATTCCCAACACCTACATGGCAGCTAACAACCATCTGTAACTCCAATTCCAGGGGATCTTACACATTGTATGACACTGGTGCACTGGCACACATGCAGGCAATACACTCATACACATAAAATAAAAATAATGTATATAAAATGCTGGGCGTGGTGGTGCATGCCTTTCATACCAGCACTTGGGAGACAGAGGCAGAGGCAGGTGGATCTCTGTGAGTTTGTGAGTTCAAGGCCAGTCTGGTCTACGTATTGAGTTCTATACAGGGAGACCCTGTCTCAGAAAAACCAAAAAAAAAAAAAAAAAAAAAAAAAAAAAAGAAAAGAAAGAAAGAAAGAAAAAAGCCCACCTATTTTCTGCTTTGATGGAGTGAAGGTGTTGTGAGCTCTGCTGCGACACTAGAGGTGACTTCTGTGGTGATCATCTCTTCCTCCTGGTTCCCTTGTTTTGCTGCATAATACTTCCCTGCCCCTAGATTGCTTCCCATTGTATCTGTAACCCTCCTGATTCTCACCACACTTCTGATGGTCTCTGTTACTCTACCACTCTCCATGAGATTCAACAGTCAGTCACTAGAAGTGTTACTTCTTTTATTTGGTGGCTTGACTGTGCCTTTTTGACCCTTTTGTTGCTGTCTGTGTTTTGCTAGTGTTTTCAGTTTTCTTTGGATGGCAGAACTTTCTGTGTAAAGCAGCAGATAGTAAATGTTTTCAGCTTTGTAGGTTACATTGTCTGCCCTTACTCAGTTGCTCCAGTGTGTAGCAACAGATAATATGTACATGATTCTGCTTGCCTGTGTTCCAGTAAAGCTTCATTTGTAAAAACAGGTGGTGTGCATGATTTGTCTAGTGGGCTGTTGTTTACTGACCCTTGCTTTAGATGGATCCAGCTGTTCTGGAATGACTTGAAGATGCTAGTTATCAGAAGAAGAGTCTGTATTTTTCTATATGCTGTGATTGACATTTAACATTTTTATGGTATTGTTGCAGAAAAGAACATGTATATTATAGTTTATTACTTTTGCCTTGTTTTAGACTTCTGAGAAGGAAATCATAAGTAAGGAACAAGGTAATGTCAAGGCACAGGGGGCCTCCGATGTTGTTCTTTACAAGATTGATGTCCCTGCCAATAGATATGATCTCCTATGTATGGAAGGATTGGTTCGGGGACTTCAAGTCTTCAAAGAAAGGTAAGGAAGTGTGTTCATGAAACCCCTCACTAAGCTCACTGTCTTCTCCCTTTTCTTGCTGTTGTCACTGGCAATTAGCTTTAAATTTCTATGAAAAACCTTGCAAGGGTAATACAGCTTTAGATCAGCATACGGCTTGACTGGACGATGAGATTCACATAGATTGTGGCCATTTCACAATTTACTTGCCTTTCATTTGGGAAACATTTTAAAGCTGGAGGGATACATGATCTTAGGGTTTACATAAAAAATCCTTGAGTAGAAGCTGGGTGTGGCTCTGGTTTTCTCAGGAATTCCAATGGAATGAATGGTTCATTGGATGTGTTAAGAGTTTGTGACAAAAAGCAGATATGGCAATATTGTATTTGTCTTTATCTTAAGAACTATAAGGAAGCTCAGCAATAGAGAATTCTCATTGGAAAATTTGAGTATCTTATGGTGGTTGTATGATCTTGGGCAGGTTAACTAACTTCTCTAGATTCCTAATGTATAATGAAGATTTTTAAGGCGTCTTCCAACTCTTTGTGTAGTAAATGTAGCAGGTAATAAATATGCAAGATGAAGGAGATGAAAAAATAGTTATCAAAAGTAATTATTTTAGGTTTTGTTTACATGCATATTACCTGTTTAGTTGCAGAAGAACATGTAACTTTGGTTGATGGCCTAGATTCTGAAATCATGAAAGCTTTGGGTGAATGTAGGTTTTTTTAATGTGATTGGTCATTTGGTTGAAGTGGTTTCAGTTTTTGGGTTTGCCCAAGTGCTTCCATGCAAGACAGTTAGATGTGTTTATTTTAGGGACAAGGATCCTGCATTTCGTGGGCTCGGCCTCTAGGATCCATCGAGTCAGGATCTAAGCTTTAACAGACTCCTCAGCTGACCTGGAAGTTTAGAAGTGCAGCCTTAAAACATTAGTGCTTGACTTCTAATGATAAGAACTGTCCCGAAGTACCTTCAAAATGCACCATTTACCAAGCTTTTATATTGACTTTTCTGATTCAGTAGATCCAGATAGAACCGGGGAATCTATATTTTCAATAAACTCTATCTTTTCTTAGAAGCTTAGCATCTCGTGGATGCAATAAAACTTAAACACTATCTAATCCTATGCCTTCCTTGAGCAATTGCTCAGTTAGTAGTTTTGTGGTCTCTGCTGGGACAGCAGTGATAGACCCTTTACTGTGGAGTATTCTGTGCCATTTTCAGATCATTTTAAATGTTAAGAAGTTTGCTAGTTTTTGTTTTCTTATTTTTAGTATTCTAGCACAAGTTGACTTACTGTAATTGAACGTATTTTCTTACTTCTGTTGATTTAAAAATATATTTACTTTATATTTACAAGCATAAGATGTAATTAGCAAATATTTTGAGTAACTTTGCTTTAATATTATTTTAGGATAAAAGCTCCAGTATATAAACAGGTAATGCCGAAGGGAGAAATCCAAAAACTGATTGTCACAGAAGAGGTAATAAGAAAATTCTTATTTTTCCCTTTAAAACATCTCATTTATGTATGTATTAATAAGATGGGAAGAAAAAAGGAACAAAGCCAACCCTTCTGCAAATGTAATTTCCTTTGATCATTTGCTAAGATGATGTGTTTTTAGCTTCTTGTTCCTAAAAGTTGTCTGCTTATTACCAAGAAATGAAAGAAAACTAAGTACTCATTTTCAGTAAGTAATTTTGGAAAAAATCAATTGCTTATTTAAAACACATTTGAGCAGGCGTGGTGGTATATGCCTGCAATTTCTGAACTTGGGAGGTGGAGGCAGGAAGACCAGGACTTCAAGGCCAGTCTCATCTATGTAGTGAATTTGAGACCAGCCTGAGGGACATAACAGAGACCTGTTTTTAAAAAGCCAAATCAGGGGCTAGAGGACCTGGGTTCAGTTCCTAGCACCCACATGGTGGCTAACAATGGCTGGAACTCCAGTTCCAGGAAATCCAATGCCCTCTTCTGACCTCCGTGGGTCCTGCACAACATGGGTGCACTTACACACAGGAAGGCAATACATTCCATACACATTAAAAAAAAAAAAAAAAAGCCAAATCAAACATGACAAAGAAAAGGCTTGAGGGCTGGGGTGGTGGAGTACAACATTTAGAGGGGTTATTTTGGTAAAAATAAGGCCTGAGCAAATTATTTAAAGATTAAAATTTCCTTAATTATGTGGTAAGTTTTCAGCAGTCTTACAGGAATGTTAATTCTGCATGGATAATGCTTTTGTCTCTTGCTTACCACTTGGTTGTTGATTGAATCTGAACATATGCCTGTTTGAATCAAACTCTGAACCTGTCAACACAGCTTACTTTCTGTGGCATTTGATAGAGGAAAGCCTTCATACTCACTATCTTAATGACATGAATTTCAGACAGCTAAGATACGCCCTTTTGCTGTAGCAGCAGTTCTCCGGAATATAAAGTTTACAAAAGATCGATATGACAGCTTCATTGAACTTCAAGAGAAATTACATCAGAATATTTGCAGGTGTGTGGTTCTGTCTTGTTTCCTCCTTGCCCGCCTCCTCCACATCTCCTTTCTGTTCCTCTCATTTCCCATCTGTTTCCTTCTTTTTCATACCTTCTAACCCATCTCTCTCCTTTTCTGCCTTTCCTGTAGATTATTTTTCAGAGCATTATATATTTTTTTATATATTTATTTTTGGTCTTTTTTTTTTTGAGATAGGGTCTCCCTATAGCCTCAGCTGGCTTGGAACTTGCTATGTAGACCAGGCTGGCCTTGAACTCACAGAGATCCGCCTGCCTCTGCCTCCCCAGTGCTGGGATTAAAGGCGTGCGCCACCATGCCTGGCTTCAAAGCATTTTTAAACTAGTGGTATGGGAGAATTTCACCTAGTTGTTCTAGACAGATATTTGTTGCTGTTTAAGAAATGGTATCTGTAGGGCTGCAGAGATGGCTCAGTGGTTAGGAGCACTTGCCACCCTTCAGAGGACTGGAGTTTGGTACCAAGGACCCACGTGGGGCAGCTCACAGCCACCTGAAACTCCAGCACCAGAGAATCCAATTCCTTTTTTGGCCTCTGTGGCCACCTGCTCACACGTGTGCATGTGCACACATAGACATATGCTCATAAACAAATAAAAATAAAATAAAATTCTTTAAAAATATTCTGTGTGTGAAGGATCAGATATATTTGGAATACTCCATAGGGCATTTTTCTTTTCCTAGAAATTTTTTTTTGTTTATTTTTCTTTCTGTTCAGATAATTTAAAAATTTATTATGTATGCATGGTTTGTTTGTTTATTTGTTTATGCATGCTGGGAATCAAAACCAAGTTCTTGTGTATGTCAGGCAAATACTCTACCACTGAGCTATATTCCTTAACCTTGTTCAAATCATTATTAATGGATTACATTACCAAATGGAAATTGTGGTAGTTTGAAGGATAGTTTGGCATTTTAAAAATGGAAAAATTGGTACTGCGGAGATGGCTCAGTGGTTAACACTGATTATTCTATTTTTTTTAAGTATTTTATTTTATTTTATGTGTATGAATGTATAACCTGCATGCATTGTTAGGCAAGTGCTCTAGCCTGAGTTCTCCTGCTGAGCCTCACCCCCAGCCCTGCTTTACTGTTTTTACATTATGGTACATAATCCCCTGCGTGGTTCTCTCTAGTGCAGTGATTGTTAAAACTGCCCAGTGTACTTAAATGTATGCAGACAAAATACTCATACATATAAAATAAAAATAATTTTTTTATTTTTTATTAAGACAATTTGGGGCTGGAGAGGTAGTTTAGGGGTTAAGAACACTTGCTGTTTTTTCAGAGAACCTGGGTTCAGTTCCCTGTGCCCACATGGCAATCCCGTCACACTCTTCCAGCCTTCTTGAGCATTACACTTATTTTGGATTTATTTATTTTTATTTTGTGTGTATGAATGTTTTGCCTCCATGTATGTAAGTGCACCCATACTGTGCAAGCCCACAGAAGAGGACATCAGATCCCCTGGAACTGGAGTTATGGATGGTTGTTAGCCACCCTGTGGATGCTGGGAATGAACCCGGGTCCTCTGCAAGAGCAACAAGCACTCTTAACCACCAAGCCATCTCTCTAGCCCATCAGTCATTTTTTAAAAAAAAAAACATAATATATGCTGTGGAGGTCAGAAGAAGGCTTCTGATTAGAAAAAAGATGTATTTTATTTTAAATTATATGTATGTCTGGGGGTATATGCATGTGAATACAGGTGCTCATGAAGTCCAGAGAGGGTGTTAGATCCCTTGGAGCTGGAGGTACAGGCAGTCCAGCGTAGATGCTGGGAACTGAACTCGGGTTCTCTGGAGAGAGCAGTATGCTCTCTTAACCTCTGAGCCATTTCTCCACCCCTAATTTTTAAAAAGAATTATTTTCTGCATATGAGCATTTTGTCTGCCACATGCATGCCTGGTGTCCTTGTAAACCAGAAAAGGACGTCAGAACTGAGGGCAGAGCTGGAGTTACAGATTGTTGTGAGCCACCATGTGGGTGCTGGAACTGAACTCGGATCCTCTATAAGAACACTAAGTACTCTTAACTGGTGAGCCATCTCTTTAGCCCCCATGTTAAACTAATTTTATGGAGCCGTAGGAATGTAATACTTAGGAAGGGGTAATGGTAAGGAATTTGCTTTAGCTGTTGAACTAATATTTTAACTAGCTTTATGTTCTCATTATTGTAATGATTATGAGAACTTGTAGTCCAGTAAAGATGTAATGTAGCAGCAATGGGCTCTTTAAGGAGTGATTAAAGTACAATGTAAAAACATATAGTCTATGCTGTCTTCAGAATTTCTGCTTGCAAATGTTGAGATCTCTTTTTCTCGTCTTTCCTTTTCCTCCTCCTTTCCCTCTTCCTCTCAACATTTAGGAAAAGAGCATTAGTTGCTATTGGCACCCATGACCTGGATACTTTATCAGGCCCGTTTACTTACACTGCGAAGCGTCCTTCAGATATCAAATTCAGGCCTCTGAATAAGACCAAAGAATATACAGCTTGTGAACTAATGAACATATACAAGGTAAAATTTCTTTTGTTTATTTATTTGTGTGTGTATGTGTGTGTAGGCATGTGATGCATGTGTGGAAGTCAGAAGACATTTTTGGGGGAGTTGGTCTTTCCTTCCACTATGGGTTCTGAGAATGGATCTCAGGTTGTCAGGTGGACAGGCAAACACCTTTACCTGCTAAGCCATCTCACTGACCCAATATTCTTTTTTAAAAATTAAAAAAAAATTTTTTTTCGTATTTATTATTTTTATGTGTATGTGTGTATTGCCTGCATGCAGGTTAAGTGCACGTGTATCGTGCAATGCCCGCAGAGGTCAGAAGAGGCTGTTGGATCCCCTGGGACTGGAGTTATGGACAGTTGTCAGCTGCCATGTGGGTGCTGGGATTCAAACCCGGGTCTTCTGCAAGAACAGCCAGTGTTCTTAACCACTGAGTCATCTCTCCAGTCCTAAAATTTTTTTTTAAATTTATTTTCTTTTTATTTTATGTGTATGAGTATTTTGCCTGCATTTCTGTAAGTGCACCCATGTGCAAGCAGTGCCTGTGGAGGCCAGAAGAGGGTGTTGGTTCCCCTGGAACTGGAGTTATGGTCAGGTGTGTGCTGCTATGTAGGTGCTGGGTCCACTGCATGAACAGCCGGTGTTCTTACCAGTGAGCCATATCTCCAGCTCTTATTTATTTCTTTTTAAAAATATTTATTTTTATTTTTGTGTATGAGTATATTGCCTGCATGTATGTAAGTCTACCTGTGTCGTGCAATGTCCCTGGAGGTTAGAGGAGGGCATCAGATTCCCCTGGAACTGGAGTTACAGATGGTTGTTAGCCACCATGTGGGTTCTGGGAATCGAACCCAGGTCCTCTGCTAGAACAGTCATCAATGCTCTTAACCACTGAGCCATCATCTCTCTAGCCTCTTCCTTTCTTTTCTTTTTTTCCTTCAGTCTTTTGGAGACAAGGTCTCTCTGTAGTCCCATCTGGCCTGGAACTCACAGAGATCCACCTGCCTCTGCCTCCGGAGTGCTGGGATCAAAGGTGTGCATGACCACACACCCAGGCAAGCCCCTTGTTTGTTTTTAACAAAAAATAAAATAGACAATTGTGTCGTCCCTTCTTAATTTGCAGTTAACATACATTACTTTGGTTCAGTACAGTCTTTTTGAGGGAATTGCTTATCCATATTTTACAAATAAGGCATTTAAGTTTTTAAAAATTTTCATGCAGTAGCTTTGCATAAATCATAAAATGCCTTTAAAGCTAAGTCTTGAATTAGGGAAAGGTAATGAATGCTTTTTTAAAAAAAGGAGTGTCTGATTGAGGTAAGGAAAAACTGATTGAGTTTAGAACAGGCTTCTTTAACTTTTCCACTCATGACCCCTTTTTGCCTGAGAAATTCTTATGTAACCTCAGGAATTCAGGACTATAAATCAAACACTTGCTAATTATAAATCATAAATTTATTTTAAAACAGTTTCTGATAGATTTATTTATATATTTATATATATAGTTTTGCCATTTATTAAAGATGAAAGCAAAGTACATATTACAGAGATTGATGAGTTGTGGGGTTTTGATCTATTTTGAGACAGAGTCTCCCTGTAGCCCCAGCTGGCCTGGGACGCGATATGTAGACCAGGCTGGCCTTGAACTCACAGAGATCCGCTTGCCTCTGCCTCCCAAGTGCTGGGACTAAAGGCATGTGCCACCACGCCTGGGTGATGAGTCTTTTTTTCACATACAGAATTAAGTTCTGACTCAATATTTGATGCTGTAGGACTTTCAGAGTTGATTGCTACTTTGATTTTTATGATCATCAGTGCTGAGAGCTCTACTTCACATGAGCATAGCACAAACGGCAGAAGAATGCTTAGGCCATTTCAGAAATCATTGGAAATCTACCCTCTTCTAAGCCAAAATTTATTTAATTTTTTTCAATGAAACAGTTTTTTATTTTATTTTATTCATTTTTATTTTATGATAATTCATAAATTCTTATGAGTGTTATGTCTGCATGAATTTTGTGATAGCTTTGCATGTTGAGATGACTTGGCAGTACTGGTGCTAATCTGTGTTTACTCTTGGACAGTGACTCAGTTGTGTTCTCACCTCTCCCCATAGGATGTTGTACACTGACATTAAGATGCTAATACTTGTAACTTTGATAACTGTATAGCTTTCTGTGACTTGGAACATTTTTGCTGTTTTTTGACTTTTCCTCTTTGTAAATACCAAATTAATGTGTCAGCTAGCTATAGTAGAAATAAAAAAACCAATTTTGTTAACTTAATTTCCTTTCAGAGTGATAACCAACTTAAACATTATTTACATATCATTGAAAATAAACCCCTGTTCCCAGTAATATATGATAGCAATGGTGTTGTCCTTTCGATGCCTCCAATCATAAATGGTGAGTTACTTCTAAATGTCGTGGATTTTTGCAGTTTCTTCTAATTGTCCTTTTGTACAGTTCTCAGTAGAATTGACTGAATCACAGTCAGCAGCATTTAATCAGAATCTCAAGTCTTTGGTAGATTTTATTTTAACAGTTCTTTTTATATAATTTTTTCAGGACCTTTAACTGCTGATCTTTATGTACTTAAGTATTATTCATATATGACTACTAATATTTGGATGCTGATCTGAGTTCTGTTACATTCCTCTAAAGGATGCTGATGTTTTAATTTTTTTAACATTTATTGTGTGGGTGTGGAGGTTAGAGGACAATTTCTGAGAGTTGCTTCTTTCCTTTCACCATGTGGGTCCTGGGGCTTGAGCTCAAGCCTTTACAGCCCCCACCCCCCCAGTTGCTGGCCCTTTCAAATTTTTTAAAAAATATTTATGTTTTTTATTTTATGTGTATGAGTGTATTGCCTGTATGTAAGTTCACCCTTGTTGTGCGGTACCAGTGGAGGTCAGAAGAGGGTGTTGGGTTCCTCTAGAACTGGAGTTACAGATGATGGTTAGCTGCCATGTGGGTGCTGGGAATGAACCTAGGTCCTCTGCAAGAGCAGCCAGTGCTCTTAACCGCTGAGCCATCTCTCCAGCCCTTTTTTACTTTAATTTAGATATTTTAATACTAACAGTAAGTCTCTTTCTCAAATTCTTATCTGTAGTTTTATAAACTAAAACTTTTAAAAATTCTGTGTGGATGAGTGTATTACCTGCATGTAGGTAAGTGCACCCGTGTCATGTAATGCCTGCAGAGGTCAGAAGAGGGTGTCAAATTCCCCTGGAACTGGAGTTGCGGACAGTTGTTAGCTGCCATGTGGGTACTGGGAACCAAACCTGGGTCCTCTGCAAGAGCAGCCAGTGCTCTTAATTGCTGAGCCATCTCTTCAGCCCCCAAACTAAAACTTTTAATTCAAGTTTTATACTTTTTTTTGGTCTTTTTGAAACAGGGTCTCCTTGTAGCCCCAGCTGTCCTAGAACTCACTGTGTAGACCAGCCTGGCCTTGAACTCACAGAGATTCGCCTGCCTCTGCCTCCCGAGTGCTGGGATTAAAGGCGTGTACCACCATGCCTGGCTCCAAATTTTGTACTCTTAATTCATTTATAAAGGATTCTTTTATGAAGCACTTTAAATGTGTTTACACAAATTAATGTCTGAACAATAGATGTTTGATTTTTTGTTTTTTTAGAGATCAGAAGGAGCTTTAACCAATACACAATGGGAAGGGAAATCTTGAGATTGTGGACTCTGGCAGTTTTAGTGGTTAAGAACATAGGCCTCAGAGTTAACTACATCTAGAGTCAAATGTTAACTTTATTGCTTAATAGCTTATAATCATGGTCAGATAACTTAATCTTTCTAAATTTTAGTTTTTGTGTTTGCAATTATGTCACAAGACTGTGGTGAAGATTATGTGTATTCTCCAGTTTGCATCCAGGTGCTGGTGAGATGACTCAGTGGGTAAAGGCACTTGCCTCCAAACCTGATAACCCGAGTTTGATCCCTGGAACCCACATGGTGGAAGGAGAGAACCAAATCTTGAAAGTTGCCCTCTGCCCTCCATACAGACCACAGTGCGATGGACACACACACACACACACACACACACACACACACACACACACAAATTCAACAATAAATATTTTTTCAAATGTTGCGTATTCTGTAAGTAAGTGTGATGGCTCATACCTGTAATTTCAGTACTTGAGGCTGAGGCAGGAGGATTGTTCTGAGTTTGAGACCAGGTCTGCCTATGTTACTTAGACCCTGTCTCCAAAACTTAAGGTTAAAAAAAGTTGTATATCCCCTTCTAAGTATTGATTGGCTTAGATTGTGTTCTAAATTTAAAATGTGATTTCTGCTTTATTGAGCTTTGTTGTACATAATATATTTCTGAGACTTGTTCTTATTGTTGTTTACAGGGAATCATTCAAAAATAACAGTAAATACTAGAAATGTATTTATTGAATGCACAGGAACTGACTTCACTAAGGTAAATAAAATCTTTAGCCAGTTTTAATACTGTCAGATTATATTTTACATTTGGACAAAGACTATGCAATTAAAATATCAAATGTTTGTTGTAGGTGGGGACATATTTTAGAAACTTTGAAAATTAAGGTGTAGATTATACTTTGTTTGTGGTGTTTTCATTAATTTATAAATGTTTATTAAGCACCTGATATCTTTCCAGTGCCAGGAATTTAATGAGTTGCGTGTTTATTGACTTGAAAGAGCTCTTTAACTAGTGGGAGGGTTAGCCAGATGCATGATTCTAAAATAGAAACTGAAAGTGTACCATAGGATCTATGTACAGCTTAAACACTGAATAATTTGATACTTTCGTATACTTAGTGAAATTTTGCTTTAAAATTGAGCTGGCCATACTGTGTATTGTAGGTTATGCCTGTAATGCCAGTACTTGGGATGGGCAGGGAGATCAGGAGTTCAAGGTCATCTTTGGCTACAAAGCAAGTTCAAAACCAGCCTGGGCTATATGAAACCCTGTATCAAAAAAATAACCAATCAGCCAACCAGTCAACCAACCAGTCAACCAACCAACCAACCAACCAACCAACCAAGAGAACTGGCTGAAAAATACTTTCTTTAGTAAACTGATGAAGAGTGTATGTACATAAAGATATCTAGACTATGCTTGTTCACCCACTTTATAATGACCACATATGTTGGATCTGATTGTTAGGAAAGTTTTTTTTTCTGTGACGCATGTCTTCTTTACATGTTAAGTAAAGCTGAGAGTGAGTTGGCTCTTACAGAAATTAGGGAAGATTACCTGTAATGACAGGAGAATACTGGTGTGTAGAAGATACGTAAGTGACATTCACCTCTACGATTGGAGACTTTTCAGTACAGACTTTTTTTGTGTCTTTTAAAAACATTATTTTTGTGTGTGATTTTTATTCTTTTGCCTGCACGTACATAGGCACACCCTGTGTTCAGTGCCTATGGAGGCCAGAAGAAGGGATCAGATCCCTTGGAACTGGAACTATGGAGTATTAGCTGCTACATGCATGCTGGGAACCAAACCTGTGTCCTCTGGAAAAGTAGCCAGTGCTCTAACCTGCTGATTCATCATTTTCCCAACCTCTAAAAATAGAGTAATATAGATTTTACTGTGTAAACTTTTTGGACATTTAAATTCACAAACCGACTATAGCTATATTTCCTGACGTTTACATCAGAGCTAACTATACAATAGCAATCCTAATAAGTATTTTTTTACCCTAAGAATTTTTTTCAGTTAAAAATTACAGCCAGGTGTGGTGGCACACATCTTTAATCCCAGCACTTGGAGGCAGAGGCAGGTGGATCTCTGTGAGTTCAAGGCCAGCCTGGTCTACATAGTGAGTTCTAGACCAGCTGGGGTGATGAGAGTCTCTGTCTCAATCCCCCCACCAAAAAAAAAAAAATTACTTGGGCCAGGCATGGTGATATACACCTTTAATCCCAGCACTGGAGAAGCAGAAACAGTGAATTTCTGTTGGACTGAGGCTACCCTGGACTACACAGCAAGTTCCAATCCAGCTGGGGCTACAGGAAGATCCTGTCTCAAAAGATTTTTTTTTTTTTGTATTTAACAAACACATCTGGCCCTTACTACATATTAGGCACTGTTCCACAAGTTTTGTGTGTGTTAGTGCATTTCATTCTCATAGTTAATAGAGTTTTTATTATCCCCACTTAACTGGTAAGAGAACTGAGATGCAGTGTGAGTCCACTCATCCCAACTCAGACACCGTCAGTAAGTGGTTGAGCCAGGATTCCAGCAGTCTGGCTTCAGAGTTATGAAGCTGATAACGTTTTGCTCCAGTGACTAGCCATTTGTCTCTCTGTAATCTCATGATCCAAGGTTTGGGGGTGGGGAAGCTAAATGATTTGTCTCAGTCATGGGTTGTAACGCTCAGAGAGCTGCTTAAATGCAGAACACCTGAAGATAAGAACAAGCCTGCTCCTAAATTTTTGTTCTACTTCCTTTCTTAGAATGCATGTAAAGGTCCATTTTTAGATATTTGAAAACTAAATTATGATAACTGTTCATTACTATCTGAATGATGTGAGAATGTACTTGTAAATTATCATAATATTTGTAACTTTTTTCTTTTGCAGGCAAAAATTGTCCTTGACATTATCGTCACCATGTTCAGTGAATACTGTGAAAATCAGTTCACGTAAGTTTGTTCAGCAGTGTTATTGATGGCCTCTGGTCTGAAGCCAAGGCTCTAAGGCCTCCTTGTGCTAATTATGACAGTGAAAAATGTGGCTTCTGTAACTAGAACATAGACTCTGTTTGGGGAGTTAAGTTAAATAATATGTAAAGTAAAAAGTGGTAAGTATTTTGGTTATGTTCTGGCATTTGGCCTCTGGTAAGGCCAGTCGGGGAAGGACTCATGGACACAATGATATTTAAGCTGTCTTAACAAGTAGTGGATTTGAGAATGTAAAGATAGAGAAATAGCTAAATGTGGGTCTAGAGTGTATAGCAAGGCGACAGATCCTCCCTGTGTATTAGCATCACTTGACCGTTAGTTATAATTCAAAGTAAAAGTTTAAAAACATGGCTGAAATTAGGTAGGCTGTACGAAATGTTTTGTTTCTATAATTTGCATTTCAGAGATTTATCAGTTAGGTTTTGTCCTGCAACGCAATAGCTTAGTAAAGCCTGGGTTAGACATCAGTGTTAAAGATTCTGTATAGGATGCATGCTTTACACACTGGGAAATAAGCTGTCTAGGTAGACGCTGCCTAAAGGAATTCTGGAGGAAGCCCTGGGACTTGGAATGGTAGAACAATATTGTGTATAGGAAAACTGGTGAAAACAGTGCTAGAATGTAATAGAATGTGTTGAGGTTGCGGTTGTGAACCAGATGAAAGAATTACTAACCAGGTACATTTTGAGAATTTATAGCTCACCTTCTTGAGCATTTAGTTTCTGACTTTTTTTCTTTTTCTCTTCAGGGTTGAAGCAGCGGAGGTAGTTTCTCCTAATGGAAAATCAAATACCTTTCCAGTAAGTTTTTTTTTTTTTTTTAAGTTTCATTAGAAAATTTGTAGCAAAATAAAAAATAGTTACCAAGAACAATAATGGTATTATCTTCTTCAGCATATCCAACAGATCAGTGTCCAGTTGTGTCCAGTGCCCACTGTACTATTGGTCTATGGAATTAAAAAGGAAGCTCAACTCTTACAGTCACTTCCCAAAAGGGACAAAACTTACTAGATTCTGATGGAACGCAGAAACGATTCCTGTCACTTCAAAACACAGAAAGTTGAATACACATATCCACTATTTTAAAAAAAGACAAAAATTATTCTCTCTTTCTATTCAAATTATCCTTTCTTGGTTTTGATTTCTGTTATAGTATACCAACATGTACATTTGTTTACATATGTGCATGTACATTATAGACTAGGATCTGCATATCCAGGAAGTTCTTTAGAGATGATGATGATGTCAGTAGTACTAACACTGGTTATTGACTGCTTGTTTCTATTGATCAATCCATCTTTCCACCCACCCTTACAATAGGCACTGCTCTGTGTGCCTCATATGAACCCATCCTCCCAGTTACCTCATAGTGTGGGTGTTACTATTATATGCCTTTCTATAGGGAATTCTTGAGTCATTGGAATGTTTAGTAGGTTCCTTTTACACTTAGGATTTGTTTAGATAGTCTGACTATAGCTGCCAATACAGTATTTTACATGGTAGTATAAGATGCCTGTAACTAATTTATTCTCTTATTAACTAGTTAACTGAGTACTTTATATTTTCATCCCTTTTAAGATTACTCAGCCTACAAATCAGATTAGTGTATTCACACTTGAATTAATAATAATTGCTGAAGGCCATCACTGTAATAAATAATTCGAAATGTATTTAGACTAGTTTAGTATTAAGGATAGTTATTAAAACAGCATTTTGGTTAAAAAAATCTACACTGGTATTATATTTATTTATTTGTTTTGTTTGTTTGTTTGTTTATTTATTTATTTATTTATTTATTGTCTTTTTGAGACAGGGTCTCCCTGTAGCCCCAGCTGTCCTGGAACTCACTATGTAGACCAGGCTGGCCTTGAACTCACAGAGATCCACCTGCCTCTGCCTCCCAAGTGCTGGGACTGCAGGTGTGCACCATGGCATCTTGTTTTGTAGCTCAGGCTGACCTGTAATTTGTGTAGCTAAGGCTGTCCTTAAACTCATGATCCTCTTGCCTCTGCTTCCCCGAGTACTGGAGTGTGCACATGCAACTTAAGATGGGACAGTATCACAATGTCACAATATCACAGTCATTTAGTTGTGATTCTAATTCAGTAAGGTGATTCTCTGGTCAGCTTTTTTCCTTTGGATTTTCCTCTGTTCGCCTGTCACTTATGAAGTGAATCAGAGCATAGCATACTCTTTTGGGTTTTGTTTAAATTTATTTTTGTGTGTGTTCACATGTAGTCATGGCATATGTGTGGAAGCCAGAGGATAGTTTGCAGAAATTGGTCCTTCTACCATGTGGATTCTGGGGATTGAACGCAGGTCATCAGGCTTGGCAGCAAGTGCTTTTGCCCATTTCTCCCCAGACTGTAACTTTTTTTTTTTTAATGTTTTCTTTTTATATTTTATTATTTTTTATTTTATATGTATGAGTGTAATGACCTGCATATAGGTATGTGCACCCATGTTGCGCAGTGCCCGCAGAGGTCAGAAGAGGGCGTTAGGTCCACTGGAACTGGAGTTACAGACAATTACTAGCCACAGTATGGGTACTAGGAATTGAACCTGGGTCCTCTGCAAGAGCAACCTGTGCTCTTAACCACTGAACCATCTCTCTAGCCCCATAATATTTTTATCTGTGTGTGTGTGTGTGTGTGTGTGTGTGTGTGTGTGTACATGTACAGATGCCCATGGAGGATAGAAGAGGGCATCAGAGCCCCTGGGGTTAGAGTTATAGGCAGTTGTAAGATATCTGACATGGGTGGGCAATGGAACTCAGGTCCTCTATAAAAGAGGTAAGTGCTTTTAGCTGCTGAGCCATTTCTCCAGTCCCCATAAAATAGTTTTTAAAGTACAATAAAGCCAGCCATGATCAAAATGTTCTTCCTGAAAACATTTATGTTTAGCAATGTAGTCTTTAAAATTTTATTGTTGTTGTTGTGTGTGTAGATGCACATGTGTATATTGTGATGTATGTATGTGGGTCTATGTGTGGAAGTCAGAGGACAGCTTTGTGGAGTTGATTCTCTCCTTCCATTTTAATGTGGATTCTGGGGACAGAACTCAGATCACCAGGCTTATACAGTAAGTACCTTTATCCAGTGAGCCATCTCCCCCACCTAGTTCTGTATTTTATTCTAGATTATCAAAGTGAAAATAAGTATGTAACTGTATAACTGAAATTATGTTTATAATATCAGCTTTTATTGGTTTAGAGGATTTTGTTGTTTTGTTGGTAAATCTGAGGTTGGAACCCAGGGTATGACACAGGCTGGGCAAGTACTGTAGTACTGAACTGCAAACTTGATTTTAATTTTAGCAGCTATTATGAGTATACTTTTGTTATATGCCAACTGCCCAGGTAACTTAGTGGCTTAAAATGGTAATCATTTATTTCATGATTCTCTTGGCATCTCTCGGTTCTTTGAGCCAGCTTTATAAATCTCTGTTGAGTGTACACACATTAGTGTAGTACATAACTTGGCTGCTGAGTAATAGCCCAACTTACATATCTGCTTCTGGGCAGTGGAGTCAACGTGTCAATTGTCCCTCATTCTCCAGCAGGCTCATCAGATTGTTTTCACTTTTTGGTGCCAAGGATGGAACCTGGGGCCTTCTGCATGCTGGGCAAGTGTTCTGCTATTGAGTCACATCCCACTAAAAGCTTGGTCTTCTTTTCAAGGCAATAGTTTCAGGGTTTTCAGCAGTCCAGTGCTTTCCAAGTGCAACATCAAGTCATGTGGTGAATTTGAAGGTCTGAGTACTAAGTACATGAAGGGACAGAGTGCTGCAGTCCAAGGCTAGGGGTGCGGGAAGGGAAGAGTTTGTGATTGCTTTTTTTTTTGGTCTGTTTGAGACAGGGTCTCACTGTAGTCCCAGCTGGCCTAGAACTCACTATGTAGGCCAGGCTGGCCTGGAACTCACAGAGATTCACCTGCCTCTGCCTCCCAAGTGCAATGACTACAGGTGCGTGCCACCACACCCAAACTTTTTTCTTTGCTTTTAATATAGATCAGACCTGCCTCCTGAGTGTTGGAATTGAAGGCATGTACCACCACACCTGGCTAAGTCTTTTTTTTTTTAATAAAAATTATCAAATGTTAATAATATATAATTTTATAAAGAAAAGGAGAAATATGCTTTAAAATTTCATTTCCTTTTTTCATCACATAGATGGAGTCTTGAACTCACTTGTATATGTTATAGAGAGCTTTCATAAATTGAAAATGATGGGCTTTCTGAAGAAGGTGTTCGACATTTGTGAATTTTTTTCCTCTGTTTTTAGGTTGTCTTACCAAAGCAGAAGGAGCCCCTAGAGAAAGTACTTTGTTCTTGAAACACTGGATTTTCTCAAACACTGTAAATGTCCCTTTCTCTCTCCTTTGTCCCCATCTTGGTACTTTATAGTTTATAGAAAAGAGTAAGGTTCTGGAGGTCAGTGGCCGTGAGTCAGAGACTGGTGGTTAATGGTGTGAGCCTTCCAGGCAGACTCTCCACTTGCCTGTGTCTTCATTCCTTCATGTATGCACACTACTAACTATCTGGAATGCTTATTACTTGGCAATTGTTTTTGTAAGCACTGGGAATACAGCAGCACTCGGTCCCAGCCCACCATTGCTGTGATGTAGGGCCAATTAGGCATCTAAAACTAAATTCCTTACCTGTAAAGTGGGAATACTGGCGCTGGAGGGATGGCCCAGTTGTTAAGAGTGTTAGTGCTCTTGCAGAGCATGCTTGTTCAGTTCCCAGCACCGACATCAGGCAGTTGACAACTACCTGTCTCCAGCTCCAGGGAGCTATCCCCTCTTCTGGTGTCCTTGGGCACCTGTACTCAAACATACACGTAATTAAAAATAAAATAAACCTTTAAAAATAAATAAAATTTACATTTCTGTATATCTACTAAAACTACAGTGCTTTGCTTACCTGGGAATCTCGGTGCCATGCAGACTGGGCTTGAGTCTGTCTAGTGGCACTGTGCTTGCTATGGAGACCTTAAGTCTGTCCTTGTCACAGAACTCGGGTGTTGGTGATGCCTCTGCCCTCAAGTCTACATTTTGAGTAACTCTGTCACATGGCCCCTTCTTGGATCAATATAGGTTTCAAAATTTACAGGTACATGTTTCTTTGTTAATGTCAGGTATCCTGATGGGAGTAATTTGGTGATAAGAAGTGTTCATAAGCTATTTCCAAGTTGTTGGAAAGCTGGGGTTTTATGCATGTTTGTTTTCACTGAAGATGGTAAAGTTGAATGACATTTGAAGTAGAGTGAATGCTAATTTATGAAATAGCCCCACCCACTTTTATCTCCTGGAACAGATTGATAGGCAGGTTGTAGGACATTGCTGTATTTTTCTCCACTTGGGAAATGGAAAGAGAGAAATGTGGCTTTTAAAAAATTACATTCATTTATTGTGGGGAAGGGGTGTGCCATAACATGCAAATGGAAGTCACTGGACAGCTTGTGGTAGTCAGTTCCTTCTACCATGTGGGTCCTGGGGAGCAAACTCAGGACAACACTGGTCTGAGAAAATGTATTTCTAGCTCTCAAAGTATGGTGAATGGTACATTATGACACTTGAATATACACTGCTTGCATGAGACTGAACATATTTAGCAGGACTTGTAAACACTGTAGAAATGATGTAATATGGTAATGTTGTGGTGGGGGCGGGGGGTGTTTGGAATGCCCAGGTGAAAGAGAAAAGTGTTTGGCTTTTATACTACTTCCTAGTAGTAGAAATCTTTTAGCAAGTAGAGTATTCATATATGAATCAGATGTAGCAACAAACAAAACATCAGGTTTCTTTTCAGTATGCGACTCTAAGAATAATTTCTTGGCTGGGTATTGCAACTGCAACAACTAATTGAATTAGAAAGCATCTAGAGCTGTATCTGATGAGAAATGAGTTAAGTTTTCAAACTTCTTTTCTCTCCAAGGAATTGGCTTACAGAAAGGAGATAGTGAGAGCTGATTTAATTAACAAGAAAGTTGGAATCAGGTATGCTTTGAAAACCTCATTTATTTACTGTGGGAGAGAATTCAAGTGTAAAATACGTAGAAGGATATTTTTCCTGAAAGAGTGCTTGAAGAGGGTTTTGATAGGATATTTAATATCTAATAGAATTTAAAAAGAAAGTTACTATTTTAGGTAGTAGCCTCTTTTAAAACAAAATATGTGCGTGTTTTATATAACCCAGTGAAACTTATGGTTTGTTACACTCTCTTTTTAGAGAGACTCCCTCGAATCTTGCCAAGCTCCTAACCAGGATGTATTTGAAGTCAGAAGTTATAGGTGATGGTAATCAGATTGAGATTGAAATTCCTCCGACCAGAGCTGATGTTATCCATGCCTGTGATATTGTGGAAGATGCAGCTATCGCTTATGGCTATAACAACATTCAAATGACTATGCCAAAAACATACACCATAGCTAATCAAGTAAGATTGCACCCTTATATAAATACTCCTATTGTTAGAAACTGATTATCGAATGCCAGGAGGGCTTCAAGAAGCACAGAACCTGGGAATTAAGCAGTATTTGGACATGCTTTGCTATGAGAGGTATTTGCTGTGGGGAGGATACAAAACAGATGGCCAAATGATTAGAGTAAGTTGAAAACCTGTGATGGCTAGATCTTTGAAGGAAGATAGCTTTTGAGTGCAGAGTCCTTGTTGAATCTCTAACTGGGAGATTCATTTTCTCAGCTTGGGCCTGAAGGCAGATGATATGTGTGGGAGAGGTGGAGTGGGAGGAGGCTGGACAGCCATGGAATGGTATTAGAACATGCTGGTAAGAGGGAGAGAGTGCTTTCTTTCTAGTAATGTGTTCTCTGCAAGTCTATGTTTTAAGAAAATCAGACCTGATTTTATTGAGATACAGTGATTTTTTTTTCCCCCCCTTCCAGTTTCCTCTCAATAAGCTCACTGAACTCCTCAGACTTGACATGGCCGCTGCTGGCTTCACCGAAGCTCTGACTTTTGCTCTGGTATGTCTTCAAGCCTGCTTCTGTCCAACTGATTGCTTTCTTTTAATACCTGAATTGTTGATTCTCTGTCTTCATGAGTTTATAAACTCTAGCCTGCTGAAATTTCCAAATTCTAGAAGAAAAACCTTGCTACTTAAGATTGTACAATTCCTAAAAAGAAATATTGGAGTATTTCTGTTTATAGTCCTAGAAAAAAACATGAAGGCCTAGGGGAAATGTCTTAAGTGACAGATGACAAAGTATTTTATAGTTTGATGTAAGTGTGGAAGGTTCACAATGAATTTCATAACCAGATTTATTAAGTTAGAATATTTGGTCTTAATTTGGTTGTGGCTGTGCCCACTAGATGCCGCCCTGGTTAAGGTCTTGGAGACTGTTCCGTATTAGACTTATTTCTTTGTCTTTGAACATGTTCACAAACATTTGCTTTGAGTTGAAAAGCTGACATAAAAGGCCTAAATCAGGAAGTGAATGTTATTACAGAATCAGAAGGAAATCTTCCTCCCCCATCAGACTGACTGTTTTAAAGAATAAAATGTGCATGCAGTTTATAAGGCTTTTCCCTCTTGCTGAGTATTTCTGTGGTGCCTATGTTGTAGTTCTTGAGTATCCCAGTAAGCTTGTTTTAGCAGCCTGTGATTGGGAAACTGCTTATTTCCCTGTCCTCCAACCCCACCTGTGAAGTTCTTATTCTTTTAGAGTATTTAAGGACCCATCTGATTCTTTTAGCATATTTAAGGGACTACATGGATTTCCTAGTTAGTTTAAGCCTTGACTTTTGTGATTCAGCATCTGTTCATTCAACATCTGCTGAGTGTCTGTTGTGTACCAGGTATTGTATACAACTTCCAGTGAGGAAGCTTGAAGCTGAAAGAACACGCTTTACAGACAGCAGAATCCGGTCAAGAATCTTGGCCTCTGGCGGCTAGAGCACTGCTCTGACTTCTGTCTCATTCTGTGTACACTGGGCTCAGTGTCATATCATTCGTGTAGGGACATCCATTTCTTTTGTGAGCGTCATCTTATATATGTTGGAATATAAAGTATAGCTATGAGACGTAAAATACGTACGGGACATCAGAATCAGCATACTCTCATTTTGAAGGATTCCAGCTTTACAGAGCACAGTGAAGCACGAGCGTTCCCCTCTTTACTTCTAATTCTATATCTCATACCCAAACTAATTGCAGTTAAAGCTTTGGCATGTGGTTTCGCTGCCTTCTGTTGTAGGGCATTTGATTTTGTGACTGTGAACTCCATGTGTCTTGCAGGAGCACATAAGGTGTCTTCTGCCATGTGGCTGCTCTGTAGGGAGGCGTTTGCTCTGTGCTAAGAGCTGTTTTTAAATGATCCCGTGTTTTTTCCTCAATAAGTTTTCCTGTCTTCTATAGCAGTTCAATTTGAGTTACTTGTCTGTCCATCCCTCCACTCCCCATGCACCCAGTCAGCTGTGTACCCAAGATCCCAGCCCAGGCCGGTTTTTAGCCAAAGCTTGTGATTGAATTGTAACACTAGCCTGTAACTTTGAGCAGTCTGCTCAGTCCAGTCACTTTAACACATTTATTGTTCATTGCTGAGGAGGAAAGAAGTGAAGGGCCAGAGAGGATAGATTTTAAGTAAGTTTTCCTACAGGCATTTTACCATTAAAATCTCTGTATAGACTAGATGCTTGTGGTAGATGAATGTTTAAATAGAGAATTTCAAGATTAAAAAATGTCTCTTTAAAGTTTATAAACAGATCTTAGCACCTTTTGCGCAAGAGAGGACTATGGGCGTGCACCACCACGCCCAGCTACTTTGGTTTATATATTTTTAAAAGTTTATTGTGTACAGGGCAAGGAAGCAGTGGGCTGAGTATTAGCTAGACTACTGCCCTGCCTTATGTTTACTTACTTTTTGTTTTTTTGAGACAGGGCCTCCCTGAAGCCCCAGCTGGCCTGGAACTCACTATGTAGACCAGGCTGGCCTTGAACTCACACTGAACTCACAGAGATCCCCCTGCCTCTACCTTCTGAGTGCTGACTGGGATTAAAGGCATGTGCGACCATGCCCGGCTGTGATAATCTTTTTTGTCTTTTTTTGAGACAGGGTCTCCCTGAAGCCCCAGCTGGCCTGGAACTCACTATGTAGACCAGGCTGGCCTTGAACTGACAAAATTCCGCCTGCCTCTGCCTCCCAAATGCTGGGATTAAAGGTGTGTGCCACCACGCCTGACCCTGATAATCTTTTTTTTTATAAAATATTTTATTTATTATTTTAACTTTTATTTATTATTTTTATTTTATGTGTGTGTATATTGCCTGCATGTAGGTAAGTGCACCTGTGTCATGCAATGCCTGCAGAGGTCAGAAGAGGCTGTTGGATCCCCTGGGACTGGAGTTACAGAGAGTTGTTAGCTGTCATGTGGGGGCTGGGATTCGAACCCAGGTCTTCCGCAAGAACAACCAGTGTTCTTAACCACTGAGCCATCTCTCCAGACCTTATTGTTTTTATGTTATGTGTATATTGCCTGCGTGTATGTAAGTGAAGCCATGTTGTGCAATGCCCACAGAGGTTAGAAGAAGGCATTGGAGTCCCCTGGAACTGGAGTTATGGACAGTTGTTAGCCCCCATGTGGGTGCTGAGAAAGGAACCTGGGTCCTCTGCAAGAGCAGTCCCAGTGCTCATAACTCTGGAGCCAGCTCTCCAGCCCCAAGAGTGACAGTCTTTAAAAAGCTGGTCCTTGATTTCTCAACAAGTCACTTTTCAACATTATAATTTTTGCTATCTCTGCATCCAGATTGTGGTAGTTTCTTTTCACTTGGCTGAGTTTTAAAATGAAATACCTACTTTATCCTTATAAGAATATCTGTTGCCAGGTGTGGTGATGCACGCCTTTAGTCCCAGCAGTGGGAGGCAGAGGCAGGCGGATCTCTGTGAGTTCAAGGCCAGTGTGGTCTGTACAGCAAGTTCCAGGCCAGGTGGGGCTATAGGGAGACCCTGTCTCCAAAAGACCCTGTCCTAGTTTGTTTCTTCATTGCTGTGACAAAACACTCTGACCACTACCAACTTGGGGAGGAAAGGGTTTATTTATCTTACATCTCCTGGGTCACAGTTCATCAGGGAGCCCAAGGTAGGAACTCAGGGCAGGAACCTGGAGGCAGGAGCTGGAGCACAGGCCATGGAGGAACACTGCTTACTGGCTTGCTCCCCGGCCCCTGCTCAGCCTGCTTTCTTATACAACACAGGCCTACCTGCCCAGGAGTGGCACCACCCACAGTGGACTGGGCCCTCCCATATCACTCAGCAGTCAAGATGATGCCCCACAGACATGGCCACAGGCCAGTACAATGGAGGAAGTTCCTCAATTGAGGCTCCCTCAACCCAGGTGTGTCACGTTGACACTAAAGCTATCCAGCACAGACCTCCCCTGCACATCCCCCAAAAATCTGTCAAAATTATGGACTGTATTTACTGGTTATATTTTTCCTAACATGTTAAAATAAGCACATAAATGCTAATATTTATAAACATCCTCCTTTCTGTGTCCCAGCTGCTCCTTCAGGATAGTGTAATTTAAACTGCCTCAGATTGCTGTCCTTGTCCTTTGTCATGGTAGAGCAATGCACACAGCAATGCAGTCGCTGTGCCCTGTGGCTGTGGAGCCTTTTCTTTTATGACAGAACAAGCTCAGCTTGAGAGTGGATTGTGTCATAAAAATTATATTTTTAAATTAATCACATTATATCTAAATCTTGTTACAAAATGCCCCTTTGCTGTGAGGAAAGTGCCTGTTTTCACTGTGCTGCACATTTCCCCTCTAGCCACAGTAGGTCAGGAAGCTCTTTTCTGCTGTATCTGGTTACGGTTTCACAGTCTTTTCCAAGAAAGCATGGCAAAGCTCAGTGTGGTGGTGCACAGCTATAATCCCATCACTTTGGAGGCCAGGGTAGGGCGATTGTGAGTTCCATGCCAGCCTGGGTGACATAGTGAGTTTGAGGCAAGAGTTGCTAGAGTGGGCATTAGCATACAGTGAAGGCCACAGTTCTCATTTGGGTTTCCAAAAATCCAGTGTATAGGTACTTACTGCTTCCAGCTTCCCTGGTACAGCCTGGCAGACAGCAGATACCATTCTTTTTTTAAAGTGATACGGAGACTGCCTACTCCTTGACGATGACTTTTAGAACAATACAATGAGCAATATTGTCCTAATCTTGGAAAACAGCCTAGTAATCTGATGATAACCGTTTTTAGTGTAAGGTTTTGGATTATCTTTCAATGATCTGATAATTCTTTATTTTTAGTGGTGACTTGTTGGCTGTGATCACTGTTGGGTTCTCTGAGTATGCAGAGTCTGTCAGGCACTGTAGATGTATTATCCCCCTGGCTCATTCATTGTTAGATTTGTTGTATCTCACAGTGAGTTCTGTTTTCCTAACTTCCGTCTACTGTCCTAGTTTTGAGGATGACAGACATTTTCTGTTTTGGTAGTACGAGTTTAACAGTTTGTTTGTTCCCAGGAGCTGCACAAGTCATGTGCAGGGAAATTAAATAGTAGTTAGAAAGAACATCGAGGAAAATTCAGCTACTTGAATTCTCTCAGTTTTGCTATTCTGCCCCAAGTCAGTACATACCCTAGTAGGGATTACATTGGTAGCCAGAAAGGCTTGGTGTTCTGGAGGAGAGAGAATCTCTGGCTGATACTACTAGAGATACAAGATAAGTCACTTGAAATAGAACACTGGGTATGACCCTATTTGGGACTGGGAGGGTGTTTTAGATAAAGGCAGGAAAAAGTGTATAGTTCAGAGAACAGGTAAGGAGTCAGGAGATGAGACTGGAAAGGTAAATGGGAGCCTAGCAGAAGAAGGACTTGGGTATGGGTTAAAACATCTCCACAGGAAGCTTTGTTGTGGCTAGAACTCTTTAAGAGAGCTGTTCTGTTTAATTGCATCCTTTGTGGGTCTAAAGTACGTGAATTATTAATGATGAATTATGATTTAAATTTAATTTACTAAATTCTTCGCTTATTATTACCTTAACTTCGCTAATTATTACCATAGCGTATATACATAGCATGAGACCATTGATAGCATTGAATACTAAATTTTAATTTAGTCATTGCTTTTCCACACCAATCTATGTTATGTGTTCTTAGTGTTCCCAAGAAGACATTGCTGATAAACTTGGCTTGGATATCTCCGCAACAAATGCAGTCCACATAAATAATCCTAAAACAGCTGAATTCCAGGTAAGAATTTTGAGTAATTAAGAATTGGGGTAAAGAGCTGGAGAGATGGCTCAGTGGTTAAGAGCACTGGCTGTTCTTGCAGAGGACCTGGGTTCAGTTCCCAGCACCCTCATGGCGGCTAACAACCATCTCTAACTCCAGTTCCAGGGGGTCTTAGGCCCTCTTCTGACCTCTGTGGGCATTGCATGACAATGATGCACTTACATATATACAGGCAAAACATTCATCAACATAAAATTTAAGAAATAAAGAATCGGGGCTGGAGAGATGGCTCAGCGGTTAAGAACACTGGTTGTTCTTGCAGAAGACCCAGGTTCGAATCCCAGTACCTGCATGGAAGCTAACAACTGTCTGTAACTACAGTCCCAGGGGATCCAACAGCTTCTTCTGACCTCCACAGGCATTGCACCACAAGGGTGCACTTACCTACACGCAAGCAATACACGCATATACATAATTAAAAATAATAAATAAAATTTTTAGAAAAGTTTAAAAAAAAAGAAATAAGGTAAAAATCAAGTTAGTAGATTTAGTAAATCTACATTTACATTTAAGTAAATGACTTAGAAAAGCTCTCTTTGGCTATTATACCCAGATGGTGAAATATTAGTACATTTTAATAGACATTTCTTAGATAACTTTGCAGTTGGTTCTGTGTGTGTGTGTGTGTGTGTGTGTGTTGGAAATCGAGCTCAGCCTCGTGCATGGTAGACAGGTGCAGCACCAGCTGATCTATATCAACAGCCTGCAGTTGGTTCATTTTTTTTTTAAAACAAAATTCCTGTTTGTTAGGAAGAGGCTCACTCTGTAGCCCAGGCTAGCCTGGAACTCACTGTGAGGCCAAGGCTGAACTCCCAAGTGCTCATACTCAGTCTCTAGTTCTTAAATGCTCTGCAGTAGCTGCTCCAGTCTCCTTTACCTGAATTTTACATTTCAAGTTCAACTTTTTATTTACTGTTGTCAGAATTCATCTCTTTTATTCATTTGTAGTAAATGAATTAAAACATATTCCTTAAGTCTCCATAAACTTACTTTGAAATTAGCCTTATATCAGTTTTTGACTTTGCTTCCCCGTGTCTTTCACTGCGATTATGTAAGCTTATAGAGTTGAAGAGTAGTTAAATGAGGTTGATGCTACAGATTGTTACAGGTTAAGGTGTTAACTATAAAAGGGGGCATTTCAAGGTTAAACATGTTTTCTAATTGATGACTTTAAATAGTCCCATCTCTTTCTCACATGTGAACTTTTTTTTTTTTTTTGACATGTGTTCTTCTATATGTCTGTTAACCTGGGTGTTAGAAAAAACTTACATCTTCTAAAGAACTGGAAGGCTCTGCTTTCAAAAAATGTAATGCTATTTAAAATAATTCCTGAGCTCTAATTTGAGATCGTTCCTTTGGACTATGGTTTTCACTTGTGTAAAAGCAAGAGTCTTCTGAATTGGCTTTTGGAAAAATTCTAAAACTCTTAGAAATGTTTAGTCTTTTTGAAATAGGTCTCCTTGTAGTCCCAGCTGGCCTGGAACTCACAGAGATCTGCCTGCCTTTGCCACCCAAGTGCTGGGACTACAGGCATGTACCACCAACACCTCAAAATTCTGAATTTTATCTTTAGAATTTGTCTAATCTGCTGTGGTAAATTAGAGGCGTACTAATATTTGCATAGACTGAAGCATCACTAAATCTTGGTGATTTCTTAATTGCTTATGCTAAATGTATCCCCTTCATTATCAGGTACGACAGATTTCTTAACTGTTCTGTTCTTCAGGGTTCGAATCCTGTCTTCTCTGTTTTGTATAAGTGGAAAGAAAGCAAACCAGAAATGCATTAACTGTCACCATCAATAGCTGTAGCTTAGTATACTTAAGAACCAGTATTTCTGCATAAAGTCCATTAGAGATGACAGAGAATGTCTTTTAGACTTGACAGTTTCTACATTACTTCTGCTCTATGAAGTTAGTTTACCATTACTAATATGGCTAACAAGTTTGTGTTTATTTATAGATAAATGAAATGAAATGTAAAGTGGTATGAGCCTGTACTTTCTCTTTCATAGTTTTTAACTTCGGGTTCATTTCTAATAGATATGTTAGAGAAAAGACAGGATAAGAAAAACATTATTTAGGTAAAATGTGTACATTTTCCATATGATTATTATAAACGAAGTTACAGAACATCCTCCCTTCTCCCCAAATATTCTCAAATGTTTGTCACTATTTAAATCTTCACTGTTATCTTTTTTTTTCAAGTTGGAATTCAGCTGAGGTTCTATATTGAAATTGAGTGATTTCTGAGTGATTTAATCTGTAGGCTGTTTGTCCATTGTTTCCCTCCCCTTTCTCCCTCTTCTAAGCTTTCTCCCCACACCCCTTTTTCTTTAATTTTATTTATTGAAGAAACTGGGTCTTTTGTTCTGTAGAATTTCCTCACTTAGGATTTTGCTGAGTGTATTCTGGTGGTCTCCTATATTTGTAATAAATTTGTAGCTAGATTTATAAACTTGACCAGATTTTATTTTATTTATTTATTTTTATTTTATGTCTATGCATATATTCCCTGCATGTAGGTAAGTGCACCCATGTTGTGCAATGTCCGTGGAGGTTACAAGAGGCTGTCCGATCCCCTGGGACTGGAGTTACGGACAGTTGTTAGCTGCCATGTGGGTGCTGGGATTCGAACCTGGGTCTTCTGCAAGAACAACCAGAGTTCTTAACCGCTGAGCCATCTCTCCAGTCCCAGATTCAGATTTTAAATGTTTATGCTGCTGAGAAAAGCTTTTGTCTGTTTGGGGGACAGTCTCATGTAGCTCAGGCAAGCCTTCAGTATGCTGTTTAGCTGAAGACAACTTTGAACTCCTGATCCTCCTTCCTCCACTTCCAAGTACTGACATTATAGCCATGTACCACCACATCTGATTTAAGAAAAGTCATCTTTAAAAAGACCAAACAAACAAACAAACAAAAAAGTACCTTCTTAGACTGGTGAGATGGTTCAGAGGTTAAGAGCACTGGTTACTCTTGCAAAGGACCTGGGTTTGGTTCCCAGCACCCACATGGCAGCTAACAACCATCCGTAACTCCAGTTCCTTGGGATTCAGCACCCTCTTCTAGCCTCTGTGGGCATTGCATGCATATAGTGCATTTACATGCATGCAAGCAAAACACACACTCATAAAATAAAAATAAATATTTTCTTAAAAAGTAGTAGCTTAGAGGACTGGTGAGATGGCTCAGTGGTTAAGAGCACTAGCCGCTCTTGCAAAGGACCTGGGTTTGGTTCCCATCACCCACATGGTGGATAACAACCATCCTTAATTTCAGTTCCTGGGGATCTGACTCCCTTGTCTGACCTCCACGGGCATTGTACGACATGGATGCACTTACATACATGCAGGCAAAACACTGGTACACCTTTTTTTGTAAGTAGCGTCTTAGGCTGGTGAGATGGCTCATTAGGTAGAAGAGCTAACAAGCCCGAGTTTGATCCCTGGAACCCACAATGTGAAAGGAGAGAAGTGACTCCTGCAATTGTTCTCTGACCACCTCAGGTGAACTGTAGCATGCATTCATGCATGTGTGGGCATGCCCGTGCACACACACACAAAGCAATATAAATAAATAATAAATAAATGTAAAATAAAAATAGCTTCCAAATCCTGGTGTGGTTTGCAGGTCTGTAATCCCAGTGCATGGGAGGCTAGGCAGGGAAAATTGTGAGTTCAAGCCCTCCTTGGGCTACATAGTTTAAAGCCAGTCTGAGCTATACAGCAAGACTTTGTCTTTAGCCTGCTGTGATGGTACATACCAGTTGTCCCAGCACTTGGGCAACTGAGGCAGGAAGATTGTCATGAATCCAAGGTTAGTCTGGGCTATATAGTAAGTATTGGGCCAGCCAAGGCTAAATAGCAAGGCCCTATCTCAAACCAACAAACAAAAGTAACTGCCATATAGTTAGCTGTTAAATTTGCTGTTACACCTCAATGTAGTTCCCTCCTTTCCGAGGAGGATATTTTCTGAGACCCTCTGGATACCTGAAAGTGAACTCTATATACTGTGTTTTCCCCTTACATATGTACCTATCATAAAGTTTACTGTATAAATAGGGCACAGTAAGAGATTAATTATAAAACTTAGTAATAATAAGCTCTAATGAACTTTTGTCAAGTAAAGCCTTTTTGTCCCCAAATATTCTATTATTGATTTTAGTGACCTTACCATACTGTTTTTTCCCTTTACTTGAGAGTTTTCACCTTTTAAAGGAAGTACTTTTTTTATTTCTCTTTGACGTGTCCAAATTGTTGTCATCACTGCTCCTTCACTTTGAGGCTGTTACACACTAAATAAGAGTTGCTTGAACATAAGCACTGAGATGCTGCCACATTTGCTGCAGTGAGGCTGCTAGGTGACTGAGGGGCAGGGAGCAGCACAGCATGGATGCTCTGGGCAGAGTGCTGATTCACATCCTCCCTGGGTTGAAGTGGCATAGCAACTAGAAATACTTGTGGAATTTTCTGCTTCATACTTTCAGATTGCAGTTGATCCTGTTAATTCAAACTATTGAAAGTGGACGGGTGCTCCTGTCCTTTGTTTCTGTGAAGGCCTCAGCACTTCCCCTTAGGTGGGAAAGTAAATGTTGAAGAAAGCACTGAGTTGAAGGCCAATAGCAGCTTGCTGGTAGAATGGTAGGAAAGATGTTCCTTTTTCCTTTAACAATCCAGCAAGTCCTTTGAGGACTTAGCGTGTACAGTTAGCTTGTGTCTTATTGAGAAGGGACTGCTTTAGGTAGGGTGTTCAAGGCACCTACTATATGAGAGGATGTATGAGTGGAGACATGAAGGAAGTGAGATAGCCAGGTTTATAACCTGGAGGAAGCACATACTTGACAGAAAGAGCAGGTAGGTGGTGGGAGATAGAAATGTGCTGTCTGACAGTACAGTGTCTCAGCTGGAGTTGCAGTAACCCAGGAGAACAGCAGGGGTTGAGGCTAGAGAAAGAGCCAGAGCCAGATCATACAGCATTATAGGGCATGACATTTACTTACAACTTGATGGAAAGCAGTTGTTGATTTTTGAGCAGAGGAGTTGGCTGATCTGGTTTAAGTGTTAAAGGATTGTGAAGAATAGACCCCAGGATTGCAGAAATGGAAGCAGAGATGATAGTATGTTGTAGTTTGGGGCAAAAGCTATGTGGTGCTTGGGAGTTTGACCAAAGCATGAGAAGCTCTTGTCATCCGTGGACCCCCTTCTGTTAGCATGATGTGTTGGAAGCTACTGTGTAGCCTAAGATGAAAAAGTTATTTCATATCAAAAGTTTTTTTTTTTTCAAAGAACTGGGAGGTAATCATATGACCATTAACAATGATGCGGCTGTACATGTTCCTATTTATTTTAGTTAATAAAAAAGCCGGGAAGTATAGTCAGAGCCCCCATAGAGGCTGTGTTTGTTTCCTCTTTGTCATAATATTTTAATTGCATTCTGTTTTCCCTAGTTCTGGTTTTTAAAGAAATGATTAGTTCATGTTTCACTCATTTAAATGCTTGTATTTCTTTTAATGTGCTTCAGTTTTTGGAAGGAGACAGTGTACAAAATTCACATATTTGCAATCTTGAAAGCCAGCTTGAATTTTAAAGGTGATAATGAATGCAATAAATAGCCCACCCTTAAGTAAGAATAGTCATTCAAGCTATGTTTGTTTCTCACTTAGTTTTTTAAATCAGATTTATTAGGGTTTATTTTGAAACTTTGGAATGGAGACTGTTTTCAGTTCTTTCAGTGGGAAAGGCCAAGGGTCCTTCTGTTTTCCTGCTATCAGTGGGCCTGGTCTGGTGATTGCTCTGTGGTTAGTGCAGTTTCAGTCTCTTCCTGTAGGTGGCGCGCACTACCCTTCTTCCTGGCCTCCTGAAGACCATCGCAGCAAATCGGAAGATGCCCCTTCCCCTGAAACTGTTTGAAATCTCTGACATTGTAGTAAAGGATTCTAGCAAAGGTAAGAATGAGTTGTCTCTGATTTGTATGCTTAAAGCATTTTTTATTGTGTAAATTTCAACTCTGTATAGGGAAAATAGTATGCTTGCTCTGGGGAATCCTGCTTCCAGCTCCTGCCTTGTCAGCACCTGGCCAGCTCCTCTCACCCTTATCTCTGCCAGTTCCTCTTAGTTTTAATGTAAGCACACTTGTGTTTTTTTTTTTTTTTTAAATAACATTGCATTTACTATTATCAAATACCCTAGGGTTTACATTTCCCTATTTCTTTCCTTTTTTGCTGTAGTTGTTTCATAATTTTTTAAATTGTTTTATTTGAATCAGAATGCTAGGAGAATGCTAGCAGATTTTCGGTGGTGAGGTCTCTCATTTTTTGGAATAGAAAGTATATTTTTACAAATAATTTAGTAACTATAAGGAGCCCTATTGAAATCTCGGTTGAAAAACAACATAGAGGGCTGGGAATGTAGCTCATTGGCAGAGCACGTGGCCTGGTATGTGTGGGGCCTTGAGTTTACTACCTCAGCACCCCCCCCCCACTTGAGGAAGGAAGGAAGGAAGGAAGGAAGTTATCGAAGGAAGGAAGGAAGGAAGGAAGGAAGGAAGGAAGGAAGAAAGAAAAAAAAAACACTACAGCACTCTGAAGAAATGTCTTTCTTGCATCCTGTGATTTATATGGATGTTACAGTGGTCTGGTAGATCATTGATCGCTCAGCACCATTACAGTACCAGTGATTGCAAAAGGGTTTTATAATTTTTCTCCTTTTAAGTACTTAAATCCAAAGTACATAATTTAGTATAGCAAGTTTTTTGGTCTAATACTTGGAATGTTTGGTTATTTAATAAATATAAATATTGTAAGTATGGAAACCTGATTGTCCTGGAAGTCTGTCTCATTCAAAGTTCACCGCGCTTCTTTCTTTCATGCAGATTCAATTGGCTGTCTGGACCTGTAAGTGCAGTGGTCCCTGGGTGTGCAGAGCCTCAGGTTATTCTTTTACCAGCAGCCTTTTTTGGGCCCTGGATTTTATGTTTCAGTCCTTTCAGTGATTATCAGTGGCTCTTACTATAGACTGTAGTCTGTACAATTGTCTTTGGGTGGCAAATCTATAATAGAAAGTAGAGAACATTTTTACTGTTAACTGCAAAGTTTTGAGGATTCAGTCTTTTTCCACTGAGAGTTTGTTATAATGTCAAATTGTCTGTTAACTTTGACTTTCACCTGAGTTCTTTGAGTTTTATATTGTCTAGACCCTCGATGGTGTGTTCATACTTATGAGTATAGCATTAAGATAGTCACACTATGTTTCTTTCCTTTTTCAGCAGTAGGCTTCTTCCATAGCTGCAGGGCTCGCCAATGGCTCTGCAGGGCTGGGCTGGATCTCAAACACGTAGCTCAGAGTCTGGCAGATGAGGGATGAGGGTGAGGAGCAGTCTGGGGTTTCTCGCTTGCTGCTGCGTTTGGCTGTAGGCATGGAGCACGTTGTTGTGTTTCAGCCCTGGGTACTTGTGCCATGCTTGTTGTGTAGTTTTTAGCTCAAACATTCACATTTCTGTTGTTCCTTATTTCATTAGGAAGAATACCTCTTGTCCTTGTGATGGACCTCTGTGGTACCTGTTTGTAGTTGAGATTGTTGTGCTGTTTTCCCCATGATTCATTTCTACTTTTGCCCATTGTCTTGCACTCGCTTGCTCTTTTTCTTTAATGTTTTCTGTTTTCTCAGTCAGGATTGAGAAATGAAGGGAAATAAATTTACTCAGTGAGTCTGCCAGCTTGAAGAAAGGTTTCCTTTCACCGAGTAGGAGTATGTTTTCTGTTTAGATTGGCCTGGATTTTATTTCATGATAAGAGCTTTTCTGCTACAGTATTCTAAATATGTGTACATGGGTCCTGTTCTTGTCTTCTGGTGTGCACAGAAGGTTCTGCAGGATCTGTCAGAGAGGCAGCACTGCATCGTGCTTTTATAGACTACAGCAGTTAGCTTGGGTTTACTTGTGCTGTGGTGTGGTGTGCTGTGGCTGCTTAACTTGGAGTTATTTGAACTCTGTGTCTCCATTTCTTCATCTGTATGCTGGGGATAAGCTGGGGATAGTGATAGATTTACTTTATTTGTCATTGTACAGATTAAGTGACTCTGTGTCTTGGAAAGTTTCAGCAAACAGTAAGCAGTGACTGCTGTTGTTCTTATTAGAGTGGGAGCAAACCCCAAGGCCAGATGTCACTGTCCTGGGCCAGAGTCATTTTCTAATACAATAACTCAACAGCCTCAGTTGGCAGTGAGGCATTAGGGAGGGGGAGCTTCTATCCTAACCTTTGACTTCATTGGATTTTCTTCCTTTCTGTTTTTTTTTTTTTCCTCAGAAACTCAAGCCATACTAATATAAGACTTTACTTAGACACATACAGAAATATTATTTTTAGAGTATCACTCATTTTTTAATATATTAACATGTCTTTTTTACTGACTGTCAAATCAGCCATCTCTGGATGGCTTTCTTTTTTTTTCTTTTTCTTTTTTCAGAAGAAATATGTTTATTCAGATAATTCACGTTCCAAAATAATATTTATGAGCAAGTAGTTTTTGATTATTATCACTTGAATTGTCAATTTTGATGTTCTAAGGATGACTTTTTTTAAATGATTTGTTTCTTTTTATTTGTTTGTAGTTTTTATTTGTTTGTAGATTTGTCAGTATGTTTATTGGTGTGTGTAGTGCCTGTGAAGGCCAGAAGCGGGTGCCAGAGCTGCCATGTGGGTGCTGAGAGTCGAACCTGGATCCTCTGGAAGAATATCAAGTGCTTTTAACTCCCAAGTTGCCCCTCCAACCCCTATGATGAAACTTCTGAAGAAAAAGATTGAAACCATCAAAAGTTAAATGGTAGAGTTTGCCAGTTATGAAAAATTCTCAAATTCTCATTTATGAACAGTCCCCAAAATAAGAAGTTCAAAGAAGTTGCGTGTAACAAGCATCAACTGGATGGTTTCATCCTGTACAATATTACAAGAGTATTTTTGAGTTCCTTTTGTTTGCTAGAAATTGCTTTAGAAGACAGGAGAAGGGGTTGGGAAATGGCTCAGTTGGTAAAGTGCTTGCTGTGCAAGTTGGATGACCTGTAAAAGCCAAGCATGGCAGGATGTGTCTGTAGTCCCAGCACCAGGGACACAGAGGTGGCAGATCCCTGGAGCTCACTGGCCAGCCAGCTTAGCCAAGTTCACAAATATACAGAGTGCCCTGGGGATGTAGAGGAACGAGCTGATGCTGCCACTTGCTTGTTCTGTAATATTAAGTGAACCCTGGCACTCCTGGCCTCATAGCTGTTTCTAGTTGCCAAGCATATTTCCCACGTGGAAATGAAGAGGGACTCTGAATTTCTGTATGTCTTCACAAGCTCTGTCTGACTTGTGTTCCTGGGAGACTAGATGAAAGCTAATTCCTGTTCTCCTGCTTGTCCTAGTTGAACATTTCTTACGCTGGTGTGGGCTGCTCACTGGTCATCATCATGAATGAAGCTGCCAGGCTGCCTGCTTTGAGACTGCATCAGGCGTACATTTCCAGCACTGACTTCCACTGTAATCAGACACATTCAGGTTGTTTAGGGCTGAGCCAGACACTGCATTTATTGAGTCGCAAGATCCAAAGTTGCTGTAACGTTTTTAAAAATTAGTCATGACTCAAGGGACCAAGCTGATTTATCCCTTTTGTTGGGCACAGTGGTGTGTTTTTGGAACAAGAAGTTGAATGCAGACGCTGCCCGAGGGTACATCTTTCCTTTTTGTAGCAGGGAAGGCAGCGGTGCAGAGCGGACCAGGCTGCTTTGTGAGTTCCTGGCTGGTTTCAGTCCTTAACAGCGCATCCTGTTCAATGTCAGGAATAATCAAACTATAAACAAACTGCAGGGTGAGCAAAGGACCTAACGGTGAATTGCTGTTCTTTCTGCTTAGAAAAGCAAGCACGTTTTGCAAATTCATTTCTCCGGCTTTTTAGACACAGATTGAATTCATAATCACAGTTCCTCCTTTCCTGGTCGGGGAGCCCAGACGCCTAGAGTCTCACAGAAAGACATCAGTCACAAGGAGCAGGAGACTGGGGAAGCTGAGCTTGTCTCTGTAAAGGAGACTTAGATGAGCAGGATGTCATCCAGTTGTCAGTTTGACAGACTGCTGTGGGTGTTGTAATCAAATTACCATACACTGGTTTCAACTGCAGCATCCAGAAGGACTTGCATTGTTGTCATAGTAGGTAAAAGGAGTTAGAAGCCCTTGACCTCTCAAGACAGGGCTCCAGGCAGCCCCACTTTCTTCTTGAAGCATGCTCACCCTAGCCTCTCATTTTTTACTCAGACCTTCCTCTATCCTCAAGGAAGCTTAATCTGGTTTAAACTGCATTTTCCCTACCTCCAAATCCCAGTTTAAATAGTTTCCAAAATTTTATGTCTTCCTGGAAATTTGTGTGAGAAAGTGGTCTGTTTCTCCTTGTCCTGCCTAGAGCAAATCCATAATTCTCTGTTTTAAACTTTTAATTGAAATATGTATTTCAGGTTCTTGTTTCTTCCTCCTCCCTTGAGCACCACGGCAGCCACAGAACAAACTAATTGTGTTGTGTTTGTGCCTGGGTTTGCTTTTTCAGTTTGCTGTAGGTTCATACCTATGCACACGGATGTTTGTGTTTATCGCTCTTATGCTATAAAATATTAAAATATAGGGTCTTGGGTTTGATCCCCAGCACCACAAAAATAGACATATAAATAAGTAGAATACAGGGGTTAGATCTTTATAATTTTTTGTTATAACTATGTGCCCCATAAAACAATAATAATAATAATAATAATAAAAGCATTTATTTCATTATGGGCTTGTGAAATACCTCACTTCTGAGAAATTGTCTATTAATTCTGGAACCCTCAAATAATGGAAGGTTATCTAGCATCCACATGTGGAATGCCGGTTCTGAAGAAAGCTTATGTCATCAGTCTGGATTAATTTAATTTCACTATTTCATATTT